GTGCATTCGAGGGATCTAGATTTCTCATTTTTTATGAGAGTCTAATGATAATGGGCCAGGTATGGTGGCTTACGCCTGTAATCCCAGCACTTTGGGAGGCTGAGGTGGGTGGATCACTTGAGGTCAGGAGTTCGAGACCAGCCTGGCCAACATGGTGAAACTCTATCTCTACTACAAATACAATAATTAGCTGGGCATGGTGGTGCATGCCTGTAGTCCCAGCTACTTGGGAAGCTGAGGCCAGAGAATCACTTGAACCCGGGGGGCAGAGGTTGTAGTGAGTCAACATGGTGCCACCGCACTCCAGCCTGGGCAACAGAGTGAGACTGTCTCCAAAAAAGGACTCTAATGATAAATGTCATGCGCTTGAACCATCTGAAATCATGCCCACCCCACCCCCAGTCTGTGGAAAAATTGTCTTTCATGAAACCAGTCCCTCCAGCCAAAAAAGTTGGGGAATCACTATACTAGTTGTCTCAGACCATCATGGCCCAGTTCAAACTTGTGCCTTTCCCACCTCCCTATCTCCTTCCTCACTTCAAGAAATGCCACCAACATTCATCCAGCTGGTTCAGCAGAAACAAGGTTATCCTTCCTTTCTCTCCTCTCTGTCTTCCCCTAGATCAGGCATCCCCAAACTACGGCCCGCGGGCCGCATGCAGCCCCCCTGAGGCCATTTATCTGGCCCCCCCACCGCACTTCAGGAAGGGGCACCTCTTTCATTGGTGGTCAGTGAGAGGAGCACAGTATGTGGCGGCCCTCCAACGGTCTGAGGGACAGTGAACTGGCCCCCTGGGTAAAAAGTTTGGGGACGCCTGCCCTAGATTCTACAAATTCCACCTTCAACATGTTTCATAACCAACCACTGCTGCCACCATTGTCCCAGCCACGCCATCTTGTGTCTGTGCCCCTGTGACAGTTTCCTAACGGGCATCCCTGCTTTCACCCTTGCCCCCTCCAGAGGCTTCATGGAGCAGCCAAAGTGATTTTTTTTGAGACAGTTTCGCTCTTATTAACCAGGCTGGAGCACAATGGCGCGATCTCGGCTCACCGCAACCTCCGCCTCCTGGGTTCAGGCAATTCTCCTGCCTCAGCCTCCCGAGTAGCTGGGATTACAGGCACGTGCCGCCATGCCCAGCTACTTTTTTGTATTTATGGTAGAGATGGGGTTTCACCATGTTGACCACGTTGGTCTCGATCTCTTGACCTTGTGATCCGCCCGCCTCGGCCTCCCAAAGTGCTGGGATTACAGGCTTGATCCACCGTGCCCGGCCTCCAAAGTGATATTTTTAAAGCTAAAATCACACCACCATGTCACTCTCAGTTTTTAGCATTGGGCTCATGTTGCACTCAAAACTAAAGTCCTTAAGACCTACAGAACATGAATAAACTGGTTCTGACTCTTAACCACTGGCTCCCTCCACTCCAGCCACCCTGACCTCCTCACTCACAGTTCCTCCAGGAAGCCAAACATATTCCTGCCTCAGGGCCTCTCCACTTTCCAGTTCCTCTGGTTGAAACACTTTTCTTTTTTTTTTTTGAGACAGAGTCTTGCTTTGTCACTAAGGCTGGAAGTGCAGTGGTGCAAGCTCGGCTCACTGCAACCTCCGCCTCCCGGGTTCAAGCGATTCTCCTGCCTCAGCCTCCCGAGTAGCTAGGATTACAGGCATGCACCACCATGCCTAATTTTGTATTTTTAGTAGAGATAGGGTTTCATCATGTTGGCCAGGATGGTCTTGAACTCCTGACCTTGGGTGAGCCACCTGCCTCGGCCTCCCAAAGTGCTGGGTTTACAGGGGTGAGCCACCGTGCCTGGCCCTTGAAACACTTTTCTCCAGGCATCTCAGCAACAGGCTTCTGACTTTATTTAGGTCTCTCTCTGCCCACGTTACCTTCTCCAAGGGCCTTCCCTGATCACATCTAAAACAGCAATCCCCTGATGCCTCATCTGCACACACTAGGCCCTCTCTCTGCTTTATTTTTCCCCATAGCACTCTCCACCATCTGACATTCTGTATTAAGTGTTTGTTTAGGAATCCCACGGCACCCAAGACATCTGGAAGTGGAAAAGGCATCTCCAGATTCCATGTGTGGAGGGAGATTGGAGGAATGGGGACTCTGTGTGGTGCTCTTTCCAGGGTGTGTTCTTTGTTAGGACAATAAAGACACAGCTTGTGTGTCTTGTCCAGCATTTCTCTGGGGCCTGCACACAGTGGATGTGAATGAACACACAAAGGAAGGACTGACGAAGTGAAACAGCAAATGAGCAAAGGAAGAGGCAGCAGCCCGGGAGTCCTGACAGTCCCCCAGCAGAGAGGACCATGGGCCCCCATTCCTTGGGCTGGTGCAAGGCTCTGGTCTGTATGGGGCCCCGGAGCCTCCCAGCACAGGCAGCCCCTGGGTAGCAACAGGACCTGGACTGGGAGACAGCGCCCCCTGGTGGCTGGACACCTGCGGCTCCAGCCCCAGGCCCCTGGAGTCGGGGTGGTTTCCAAGGTCTGTCTTTCCCACAGTCTGGTTGGAATATCACAGAAATCCCTATGAAACAAAGAAGTTCAGATTTGTAATAAAGGAAAGGATGCCATGTGGGGTACCCAGAGTCCTGGGCTCCATTTCTGGCCATGCCCTTGATTCTGGGTGACCTTCGGTGTGTCCCGGATTTGTTGAGCTGCCCAGGCTGGGCTTGGGCTTGCCACTGCAGGGAGGAGGGGTGCCTGCTGCAGCACCCCGGCTGCCTGCCTCTTGGCCTCAGCTTGCTGTAAGACTTTACCCATCTGGAAGTGCTTGCCTGAGTGAGCTGAAATCTGCCTCCCCATGGCTCTAGCATCCTTCCAGGCTTTGCCGGTGTCCACACACACCCTGGAAGGCAACAGAATCTCCACTCCCCCAACCCCCTTTCACACTTGGGATCTGGAGATGCCTTTTCCACATCCAGATGTCTCATGCGCAGTGGGATTCCTAAATCTGGAGCTCAGGGGGGGAGGTCTGCACTGAAGATAGACCTTCCGAGTCCACCATCTAGAGGGTCTCTGACACCTGGGGACTGACTGGCTTGCTGAGGCCAATGGTTCCCAACCTGGGCTGTGTATTACAGTCATCCGGAAATCTAACGAACATTGATGCCCAGACCCCACTTACCCAGACTGATGAAATCAAAGCCCCTGCGTGTGGGCCCAGGCATGGGCATTTGATTTTTCAAATCTTTTATTCTCTTGGTAGGTCACTCACAGGACATGCATGGACATTTTTAAGGGCTTTCAGGGGATTCTTTATGTATCCAGGGTTGAGCTACATGGTATTGAGCCTAGAGCCCTGGGGAGAAGTCAAAAAAGACGGCAATAGAGGCTGGGAAGGAGAGAGCTGTGAGGTAGGAGGAAAGCCAGGCAATGGGGGTGTTTCCAGAACCAGAGTTGAATGCTGCTGAGAAGTCGAAGGCCTTATTGCTTTTGGAGAATAAAGTTGGTGACTCAGATAAGAGCCACATAACAGCATCATGGGGATGAAGGAGAGTTAATTAAGGGGAGAATGTGGGTGAGAAAGTGGAAATGAAAGTAATCAACTCTTTTGAAGAGTTTTTGCTGTGAAGAGGAACAGAGAAACGGGGGGTGGCTGAAGGGGAATGTGAGGTCAAGGGAAGGTTTAAGATGGGAAATTGCAGAGCATGTTCGTGTGTGGCTGGAAGAGCTGCTGCTGCCAGGATGAATGGGTCCAGGAGACAGCGGGGACAGCGCAGTTTTCCAAACTGAGGTGAGAGGAGCTGGGATCGGAGCATATGCTGGAGACAGACACTTCTACTGTAGGGGCAGGAGGGAGAAGACGGATGGATGCCGGAACACTTGCAGACGCGGTGGGGGAGACTGACCTGTTTCCCCAGTATGCCTGTGAGGAGACGCTGGGCGGAGACAGAGAGGAGGTTCTGGGGAGGAGAACAGCTGCCCCTCTAGGGAACAGGGTATCAGTGGTCGGGAGCACCTGCCTTGCATTGTTAAGGAGGATGCAGGCAGCCTGCTTAAATGGATTTCTCTGGCTGTGGGCAGCTGTGAGCAGGCACAGAGGAGGTCTGGGTTCACCCAAAGACGGGGACTTTGCCAGACCAATAGGATGAAAGGAGAGAGGAGAGCGGGGAAGGGACTCCATGGTGGACACAGAAGCTACGTGGAACAGAGCGGACAGTGGGCAGAGGCCTCAAAGAGCCAGAAAAGGGTCCTGCAGGTCGACACGCTGGGCAGGGGTGGTACTGGCCGTGCTAGAGGAAGTAAGGAGAGAGCAAAAACGGTGTGTCCGTTGTGAAGATGAGGTCCAGGATGTGCCAAGGGTGTGGGCAGCTGAGGTGGAGTTGTGGTGAGTGCCAAGCAGCCAGACCCCTGGAGGTGCGATGCTTGTGAGCGTGGCTGGCTCCTAGGATGGCGACAGGAGCAGAGGAGGGAACTCAGCATTCAGTCTCTAGGAAACTTCTCTCCCCCTGGAATGTTGGCTCCCGGAGAACAGGACTGAAGCTGTCCTGAACACGGCCGTGTCCCCCAGTGCCTGGCACTGAGTAGGCACGCAGCAAAACTCTCAAGGAAAATGCCTAATAAGTCATTTGTTCTCTCTCCTTTACAGATGAGGAGACTGAGGCCTGGGGTTCCCAGAAGTATCTGCAAATGGTTGGAGTTTCAGCAGGGAACAAGCATTTTGGGCGAGCGTGTCTCTGAAATCCTTTCCACCTGCTCCCCGCCCCCAGTGGCTCCTCCCCCAGCTCCAGCCTCCGGGTCTCCAGTGGGGCCCTCATGCTGCTCCTTCCCGAGTCTGACAAGCAAGCCTCATGGTTCTCTCCCTCCGCCTGTGACTCTTTGTGTGACTGGATGTGCAGGGCTACATGGAGCCCTAACGATCTGCATCTTGTCCATCTGCTGCAGTGGATTTGAGCCCACGGGTGGCAGGTCAGGCCAGGTCATCTGTGTCCCTGGAATCAGCCCAGGGCACTGGCATTGGCTGCAGTGATCGCGAGTGGGGGTGTGTGCTGTGAGTGCCCCCACCGGGAGCTGCTCTGAGCTTTAGTATCTGCAAGTCTGCACGCTGTACATGCACAGGGCAGGGCGGAAGTCTTCCACATGTGGTCTGCCTTGTCCGTGCAGGCCAGGGTGGACACAGGTGTGTGTCTGCAGGGGCCCCCCATTTGCCCATAGCCCATCCTCCTGTCTCAGGGGGAGCACCTCTCCCCTCTGGCCACCACTCTGCTGGGCGTTCAGGGCCGGTCACAGGGGGCAGGGCCCTTCCTCCGCTCGCGACTCAGCAGTGTTACCAGCTTGGCCTTGAAGCCTGCCTGAGAACCGGGGCTGCCTGTGCTCCCCGCCTCATCCAGCTCCAGCTCCAGCAGCCGCCGGTACTGGGCCTCCAGGGTGCTGTCGTAGGAGGGGCCAGGCCAGCTCAAGTCCTCGCCGTTGTGGTAGATGGGGCTGGCTGCGGGGCTGCGGCCGCCTGGGCCCTCGTGGGGCTCAGGTCCCCCGCCATGCAGCGTGGGGCTGGCCTCCAGCACACACAGGTTCTCGTAGAGGTGCTCGGTGCCTGGGGTCCCACTGGCACGCTTGCACACCGAGGCGTACAGCCCGGACACTGGATCGTTGGGCTCCGGGCCTAGCAGTAGCGGCAGGCTCTGCGGCCCAGGCTCGGCCAGGCGCACCCTCCTGGAGGTGGGTGGCTCGGGCCCTGGTGGCATCTCCTGCAGCTCTCCAGGGGCATCCAGGGAGGGCAGAGAGGTGGCCCGTGGCAGGGGGCAGGGCCGGGACTTGGCCAGCTCTGGCAGCCGCTCCCGCTGGCGGGCGATGGCCCCGGCCACGGCCCCGCACAGGTCAGGGGCACAGGGGCTGCTGAAGGCGAAGAGACCCTCGCCCGAGTCGCAGCGACGGCCGGCCTCAAAGGAGAACACGCCCTGGGCACAGGCAACATGGGTGGGGATTAGCATGGAGGGTCCAGGGTGTCAGCCCCCTACCCTTCTCACCCTTGCACCTCACCTTGTCACAGCCGAACTTGCGCAGGAAGTGGTAGGGCCAGCTATAGAGGGCCTGGGCGCCCTTGGCCTCCCTCAGCTGGATGGCATCTGGGCCCAGCACCAGCAGGGCTGGCCCCTTCAGCTGGCAGCGGGCAGCAGCCTCAGTCCTCTGCACCACCACGGGAAACTCGCCCACTGCAGCAAGTGGCCAGGACAGCCCCGTCAGTCCCCCAAAGACCCAGCCCTGGGTGTACGGGGGCTGAAGCTGCCTTTGTGCCTCCCCTGACTTACCTTCCTGCCAGGAAGAGTAAATGGAGTTTTCCTCCATGGGGACCAGGCCCCTCTTGGGAGACAAGGCATCTGTGGATCCCGAGGAGGCCTCCCCTGTGCTCTGGGGAATGAGTTCAAGTCAGAGGTGAGAGCACCCCACTCCCATGCCCTGTCCCCTCCCTTGGGGTCAGTACCCCAGGACTCCACCACAAGCCAGGGCATCCAGGGGCCTGGGTTCCAGTTCCAGCTCTGCCTGGCTCGCTGCAAAAGCTAAGATCCCCTTCTGAGCCTGTTCCCCCACCTGGCTCCCCACTGAGAGTGCTGGGCTGGGAAAGAGGTGCTGTGCTTGAGGGTGTCTGAGAGTGCACACGAGGGGATGTCCCCTACAGCCCCTGGGCTTGGCTGGGGCCTAGGCCAGCTCCTGTACATCTCTGACAGCCTACAGCAGTGCAGGGACAGGAGCCTTCAGGCTGAGACACACTTGTGAGCTGGGCAGGGAGCAGTGCCCCAGGCGTCTTCCTTCATCTCACCACAACCACCTGCTGCGATCCTTCGAGGTGCTCCCAACCTCTGCCTAAGCCTCATCCCCATACCAGGCCTTCAGCACGTCCTTGGGGCTCTTTCCCACTCAGCTCCTCTACCAGGACCACCCTGGCCCAGAGCAGCATGGCCAGGTCAAATGCCACAGCTTCCTCACCTGGCTCCTTGCTCCTGTCAACTACCTTTGTTTTTTGTTCGTTTGTTTTTTTTTGAGTCTCAGTCTGTTGCCCATACTTGAGTACAGTGGCACGATCTTGGCTCACTGCAACCTCTGCCTCCCAGGTTTAAATGATTCTCCTGCCTCAGTCTCCCAAGTAGCTGGGCTTACAGGTGCCTGCCACCATACCTGGCTACTTTTTTGTATTTTTAGTACAGACAGGGTCTTCCCGTCTTCCCATGTTGGCCAGGCTGGTCTCGAACTCCTGGCCTCAGGTGATCCACCTGCCTCGGCCTCCTAAAGTGCTGGAATTACAGGTGTGAGCCACTGTGCCCAGCCTCAACTGCCTTTTTTTGATTTTTAAAATATGATAAAATACAGAGAACATAACATTTACTGTTTTAACCATCTTACATCTTAAAGTGTATCCCCAGTGCTTTTTAGTGTATTCACAAGGTTGTGCAGCTATTGCCACTGTCTAGTTCCAGATCTTAGCACATCACCCCACATGGAAACCCTGTACCCATGAGCACTCATGTCCCACCTCTCCTTTCCCCCAGGCCCTGGCAACACTCCTCTGATTTCTTTTTTTTTTTTTTTTTTTTTTTTTTGAGACGGAGTTTCGCTCTTGTTATCCAGGCTGGAGTGCAATGGCGCCATCTCGGCTCGCCGCAACCTCCGCCTCCTGGGTTCAGGCAATTCTCCTGCCTCAGCCTCCTGAGTAGCTGGGATTACAGGCACGCAACCACCATGCCCAGCTGATTTTTTGTATTTTTAGTAGAGACGGGGTTTCACCATGTTGACCAGGATGGTCTCGATCTCTTGACCTCGTGATCCACCCGCCTCGGCCTCCAAAAGTGCTGGGATTGCAGGCGTGAGCCACCGCGCCCAGCCCACTCCTCTGATTTCTATCCCTATGGAGTTACCTAGTCTGCACATTGCTTGCTTGCTTTCTTTTTTGAGACGGAGTCTTGCTCTGTTGCCCAGGCTGGAGTGCAGTCAACCTCCGCCTCCTGGGTTCAAATGATTCTCCTGCCTCAGCCTCCTGAGCAGCTGGGATTAGAGGTACCTGCCATGATGCCTGGGGCAGAGGCCCCGAGGCTGGACAGTGTAGAGTGTTCAAGGGCAGAAAAAAGGTGCTGTGGTTGGAAGGGAAGGGGCTGGAAGGGGTGCAGGAGGAGCCCAAGTTGGGGAGCTTGGGTTGGGGGCGGCTGAAATGCCCTGGGCCATGTGCTAATTTTTGTATTTTAGTAGAGACGGGGTTTTACTATGTTGGCCAGGCTGGTCTCAACTCCTGACCTTGTGATCTGCCCACCTCAGCCTCCCAAAGTGTTGAGATGACAGGTGTGAGCCACCGCGCCCAGCCTTTCTTTCTTTCTTTTTTTTTTTTTTAAGAGGCAGCGTTTCACTATCTTGCCCAGGCTGATCTTGAATTCCTAGGCTGAAGCAGTCCTCCCACCTCGGCCTCCCAAAGTGCTGGCATTGCAGGCGTGAGCCACTGTGCCTGGCATTTGTTCTTTATGGCTGAGTAATAGTCCGTCTTGTGGACAGACCACATTTTCTTTATCCATTTGTCAGCTGTTGGCCACGAGGCTGTTTCCACCATCTGGTGGCCGTGAATAGTGCTGCTATGGACATTCGTGTACATGGGGGTTTTTCTGTCTCCATCATTATGGCTCACTGCAGCCTCGGCCTCGGGGGCTCACGCCATCCTCCTGCCGCCCATGTACGTGTTTTGTGTGAACAGCTGTTCCAGTTCTCCTGGGCACACACCTAGGAGTAGACCTGTGGGTCACATGGTAACTGTTTAACTCTGAGGATCCGCCAGGCTCACTTCCACTGACCCATCACAGACCTTGTGGGGCTTTACACGTGAGTGTGGCTTAAACCCTCCAAAGGCTTCTCTTCTCACTCAGAACAAAACCACGCACATGGCCCAGGGCGTTTCAGCCGCTCCCCCAGGCTCCCCAACTTGGGCTCCTCCTGCTCTTCTTCCAGCCCCTTCCCTTCCAACCACGGCACCTTTTTTCTGCCCTCGAACGCTCCACACCGTCCAGCCTCGGGGCCTCTGCCCACGCTCTCCCTCTGTTTGCGGCTTCCCAGGCCGTCCCTGTCCTCAGACCTTTGCCCAGAGGGCTCCTGGCATTCAGGGCCCTCCTCTGAGAGGCCTTCCCTGGCCACCCTGCCTGTCACTCCCTCACCTCCTCCTGCTTCTCTGGCAGCCCATTTTCTCCATTTGCTTTCCCAGGCTTATGGGTGCTTGGTGGAGCTTGCTGGGTGTCGGGATGTGCCTGAGCATGCAGGTGAAGAAGCAGGGGGCGGGGGCCCCAGCCCAACCACCCCACCTGCCCGCTGCACTCACCGGGAAGGCCAGCTGGCAGATGGGGCCCATCCAGGCCTGGCGGTGCTGCGCAGCTAGTAGGTGGCTTCGCTCGGTGGTGGTGAGCAGGAAGGCACCGGTGTCCCGCGGGCAGCTCTCGCCGTCGGCCGGCAGCACGGACACACAGTCAGCCAGGCGGATGACCCGTCGCTCCCCTCGCCGGCCAGGCCCCGCCGACTTGTCACCCGCTGCTCCCAGGCCACCATCCCGGACCTCCCAGCTCTCCAGCCGTGCCACACCCGATGGACCTCCTGCATACAGCAGAGCCCACACCTTCCGCCAGCACTTCTGCGGGAGAGGAGGGGGAGGGAGGAGCCCCTTGGGTGGTACATTCTCTGTGCCACTTGGCTCAGCACAAGCTGCTCAGCAAACGCTCCCAGCCAGGAGTGGCCCCTTGCTCCCCAGTTTCTCAGAGCACGAGGGAAGGAGGCCTTGGCTGTGCTTGGGATTGGTTAGTCCCCGGTTCAAATCCCAGCCTGCTCTTTCCTAACTGTGACCTCCACGAGCATCAGTGTTGTCTCTCAAAAGGCCGTGAGAACCCGAGTTGGGGGTGCTACTGGGTCATGTCTGTGAAGCATCCAGTGGCTGGGCCGACCACCAGACACTGCCATGATGTTGGTTCCCTCTCACCTCCAAAACAGGGGCACTTGGCCACAGGCCAAGGGCTGGGGTGGGAGGGAGGCCTCCACCTCACACTGGTAAGGAAGGAAACATGCAAATATCTTCAAGCAAAGGAAACCAACAGTTTATCTGCCTGGGCAGCAGCTGCAGCTGAGCTGTGGGGGTGTGGGGCTGCTGCCGAGGAGAGGTGACCTTCCTGCCTCCTTGCTCCCAGGACAGTGCTGCTGCAGGGAGGGGCTCCATGCTTGGGGCCTCCTGCAGCTCAGCCCCTCGCCCTCCCTAGGGCCCTCGGTGCCAGTATTCTCTGGGTCAGAGACGGTGAGACTTTTCCCTGCTGGGAGGTTTGAGCCTTCTACCCTCTCCCGCTCCTGTATTTCCCGTCTCTCTCGAAGGCAGGGTGTGCTCAGCTTCGGCTATCTCAGGCCGAGACCCAGGCTCTGTTCCACTCCCCATACCTGGGTGGGATCCTCCACCCTGACTCCCTTCCCAAGTCTCCCACGTCTGCCTGGGCTGTCCGACCTGGGAGAGGGTTCTCTGCCCCCTGTTGGTACTTGGCAGCCGCCTGGCAGCCAGGGGTCCCCACCTTGCCGAACTTGACGTGCTGCTGGTAGAGGATGCCGTCCTTGATGGGGGTCTCCAGGGGCTCCATGGCCACAGCCACGGGCAGGGCTGCTGCTGCAAGACCTGGGGAGACTGATGACAGGCTGGACGGGAACTCCCCACACTTCCCCTTCTGGCCACTTCCCGTCCCTCCGTCCAGAGGCAGCTGCAGGCTGGGGGGAGGGGAGCCTCTCTTCAGTGAAAACTCCTGTCTTTAGCTCAGAGGCTGAGGGCTGCACGTATTTCTTCCCTGGGGTACTGGCTGCCCAAGGAGCCCACACTTGCCCAGAAGGAGCCCCTGGCCACCTGAAGGCAAATGGCCTGCACCCGGGGCAGCTGGGCATGAGAGTCTGACCGCAGGCTGGCTCCAGAGTCATGGGCTCCCACCCCTCCCCCATCCCGCCCTGGGCAGCTACGCACCCTGGGCCTGACACTCCCTGGCTCTGCCTTCTCTAGCCAACTCCCGGCTTTGCCACTCTGCGTCCTGTGCCCCGAGACCCTTCTCTAGCCAACTCCTGGATTTCTCACTCAGTGTCCTGGCTTGAGGGCCTCACCTCTTCTTCCTCCCTGAAATCTCTCTCATATTCACCTGCTACTCTCCACCCCACAAGCTGCTGCCCACCCCAGCCTCGGCATCTCCCCCAGGGGCCACTGCCCCCTGCAGCACTCGCTACAACTCAAGACCAACCCTGTCTCCCCTTCCTGGGGTGCAGCCTGGGCTCCTTAGCCCAGCAGTCAGGGGCCTGTATGTTACGGCCTCCATTTCCCTCAGTCTCATTTCCCCAGACCAGCCCCTCCAGGGACCCTCACCGCTGTGATGCTCGGGGCAGTGGGCTGTCTCTTCCTCCTGAAGGCCTTCCCTGACCACTCCAAGCACAGAGCACAAAGGCCCTCGCAGTATACATCACACCGGGCATCCAGTCCACATGGGATCCACAGCCCTGAACGGCTCCAACCACGTGAGTGTGGGTGGCAGGTCCCAGTGGGGCCCGGAGAGGTCACGTGTTCATTTAAAGCTTTGCTTCCTGCTGGGGGCTCTTTCTGTTGGCTAGCTTAGCAGGTCGGTAGCGGGGCTGTGTGTATCTTTACTCCAGAACAGCCTCACGTCGTTCAGTGCCACCTCTGGGAGAGAACATGGAAGCAGGCTGAGAAATGCTGTTCGGGCATGCACTTGGCCAGGAAATATTTCCTAAAGGCCTCCTGGCACCTGGCTCTGTGCCCACTGCGGCCCAGGACGCCCTGAGCTCCAGCCGCCTCCGACACCACGTCCTTTGCTTTCTCACTGCCATTTCAACAGTGAGGAAATCAGCGCTCAGAAAAATTAAGTAACTTGCCCAAGGCCACACACCAAGTGACAAATATGGCTTGAGCAACCACTGTCCCACTGGTATGAGCACGTGGCCGTATGTGCAAAGTGCCTGGCACAAGGAACTGCAGCCACCTGTGCCATTCCCTGCCTACCTCTCGCCAGATGCTGCTTCATCTGCCAGCGGTCTTGTGACTGCCGTCCACGTATCTGCGTGTGCGTCTTTCTTTCTCCTCGCTGAGAGCTTCCCTGGCAGCCATCTCCCTGGCCCATCTAGGTCCTCGCAGCTCAGAGCTGGGCACAGAGCATGCTTAGGGGGAGCTTGTGGCCTGAACAGCAGTTCTATGACATCTGCTGCCTCCTTGGTCAACGGAGCAGAGGGCTTCCTATGGGTGGCTGAAGCAGGCAGGCAGTGGGTGGGGGGCCTGAAGCAAGCAGCAGCCTCCCAAGGGGCTTCAGGAGAAGCACCTGAAACATCACACCACTGACAGGAAGAGTGAGGCTGGGGGCTGTGACAGGTGGCCAGAGAGACCAGAGAATCCAGCCATTTCTCCTTGGCCTGCCAACGTGTCATAAATCCCTCCTTGAGTCATAAATGCAGACAACCCAATGGAGGGACCCTGAGTTCCCAGAGGCGGAAACCTGCTCATTGACTCCTTCCACGGCCAAGTACCAGCAGGCTGGATGTTGGCAGTGCTAGCGGGAGATGCCGGGGCCTTGCCTCAGAGGGGCCCCGGAGGTCAGAGGCGAGGTCTGCCCAGGAACCAGGGGGCGGACAAGGCGAAACACAGACGCAGGGCCAGGGCTGGGATCGAGGTTTGTGCTTTAATGGCAGCTGGGGTGAAAGGGCACAAAAATAGTAATTCTGAGGGGCACAGGGAACAGGCAGCCAGGCCTAGCCTGGCCCAGCCCAGACCAGCTGGGCTGAGGATGCTGGTTCTGTCCAGGGGGCTGCTGTGTGTGCATAGAGTGGCTGCAGTCCTGGGGACTGAGGCCTCCTGGAGAGGAAGGAAGACTGTCGGCTCAGAAGTCCATGGAGCTGTGGGCCAGGTAGTCCTTGCGGCCGATGTTGCTGACCTGCTTGGTCTGCATAGCCTCAAGTTTGGGGCAGTCGGTGATCCGATGGCCCAGGCCCCCGCAGAAGGCACAGCCGCGCTCTCCTGGGGGAATAGGGATAGGGGTCAGCAAGGTCACAGGCCGGGATCCACGCCCTGGACCTTGGGCCCCCCAGTAGGCACCCTCGGTCCACCGATGGCCAGCATGGACCTGTTTTGTGTGTTTCTGAGTTCCAGTACCCTTCCCTGCCACCCACCGGCTGGGGACTCACGGCTCCCGCCCCGCAGTCACCTCCGATTTCCAGCATAGACTCGTCCCCACAGTGCAGCACCTGCAGCACGGGTGGCACCTTCTGCTTGGCTTCCAGCAGCAGGGCTTTGAGGTCCATCAGCACTGACTCATCTGGGGAGGAGTGGGGAAGCATCAGGCCCCACCCTGGGCCCTGCAGCCAGAACCTGGGTGGCCACAGGCAGGGGGCCCAGGGAACAGCTGAAGTGGCTCTGGTGAGACTCACCACAGGCTTTGTTGATGAAGGTGGTAGCGATGCCTGTGTTTCCTGAGCGCCCGGTGCGGCCAATCCGGTGGACTGTGGAGAGAGGGACAGAGTCTCCGGCCGACTGCTGGACACTATGGGCCTAGCCTGGCCCTCCCCCTGCCTAGCCTGTGCCCCTGGGTCCCAAGGTCCTACCATAGTTCTCAATCTCCTCTGGCATATCATAATTGATGACGTGCTGGATGGCAGGGAAGTCCAGGCCCTTGGAGGCAACATCTGTGGCTACCAGGACATCCTTCTTGCCCTCCCGGAATGCCTCGATGGCCTTAGTCCGTTCCTCTTGGTCTGGGGAGGGTCAGGTAGACACTGTTAGAGGCACCGTGGGAGTAGGGGAGTAGCAGGCGGACCAGGCAGGGGAAGATGTTAGGTGAAGCGCCGCTATAGCAGCAGGGTCCCTGCCAGTGCTTGCACCACCCTGACCTTTGCCCCCATGGATGGCTACGGCCTCAACCCCCTTGAGCAGCAGGTACTCGTGGATGGCGTCCACATCTGCCTTCTTCTCCGCAAAGATGAGCACCTGTCCAGAAAGACCAACTCAAGTCAGGGCTGACTGCCTGGGTACCCACCTCACCTCCCTTAGCACTCTGTCCCATCCAAAGCCCTTCCTGGTCTTGGGGATTCCAGCCCCAGCCTGGCCCAGCTGCACTCACAGGTGGGGGTGTCTTCTGCAGGCACTCAAGCAGGTACACCATCTTGGCCTCCTCCTTCACGTATTCCACCTCCTGCCACCACAGGGATCAGGTCAGGTGATCTCTAGATTAGCCTTACCCGCCACAGCCCTGTCACACAGCCCCCTGTCACACAGCCCCTCATCTAGATAAGGAGGTGGCCAGAAGCCTCTGGCCTCCAAGGCCTGGGTGCCCTAAAAATTGCCCTGGTTAAGGGTCAGGGGCTTTGAATGAAACCCCCAGTCCTCACAAGGTGGACCCCTGGCTACAATCAGCTTCAGGGCACCTTGTCAGATCCAGCCCCTACAAGTGAGAGACTGCCCATCAGGAGTATCTGCCCACCTGGATGACATCCAGGCTGGCAGCCCCAGCGCGCCCCACGTTGATGGTAACAGGCTTTACAAGGGCACTCTTAGCAAAGTTCTGAATCTTCTTCGGCATAGTGGCACTGAAGAGCAGGGTCTGCCGCTGGCCCTGAGGAATAACGGGGGCTGCGACCTAGGGCACGCAGGGCTGGGCTGAGGGGATGGGGTCTGGGGAAGCTGAGCGACTGAGACACAGCCCACAAAGCAGGAGCAGTGGGTGGGGTGGTCGGGGGCATGGGGTCTCCACAGTTGAATGTGGTGTGTGGTAGTGGGGTGATGCGGGGGTGCCCTGACTGGGCAGGGGGCAGGCACCTTGAAGTATGAAAAGATGGTGCGGATGTCACCCTCAAAGCCCATGTCAATCATGCGGTCGGCCTCATCCAGGGCCAGGTAGCGACAGATGTCTAGACTGACCATCTTCTTCTGCAGCAAATCCATGAGGCGTCCTGGGGTGGCCACCATCATGTGCACACCGCTGGGGAGCAAGGAGAGACCCTGAGGTTGGGGCCACTGGCCTGTCACCTCCCACAGACACCCTGCGTCTGTTCTGCTCTCTGTTCTCCTTCCTATTTCTTTCTCTGTCCCCTCCTTGTCATTCCTACCACTTACAGGACCCTATATATAACACACAACTCTTTCCCAAGGCACTGCAGCCTTCTTCGCCACCGCTCGGCCTGGCACACCCTTCCCACTTCTCCTGGGTCAGTCCTCTCACCAAGGGGCTGCCCTAAAGCTCCAGAGGCTTTACTCTGGGCACAGTTTCCTGGTACATTGGCTTCACCTTTTCTGTACCAACATCTCCCTAAGACTAGGAATGCCTCCGGGATGGGGACTGGCCCATTTGTGAACAGAGGGCCCAAGGCCTCTGGTGGTCTGCAGTGGGCTGCACAGCATAGAAAGGACACAGGTGCAGCTGGGATCCAGCCCTACTCCAGTGCCTCAGCCTCCCTGACTGACCAGTGAATGACCCTGACCTTCCTGGGCTGTCCACCTCTGCACTTTCAGCCTGGACTGCCCCTCTTCCAAATTCAAATATTACCTTCCCTGCAAAGCCTTCTCTCAGCTCCCACCTCCCAGACGTCCCAGCATGGTGGGCCTTTCCATCTGCTGTGCTCCTACAGTACCTGGCCATATCCCTCTGTTCTCTCCCAACTGACCTCCCCATTAGACTGGGAGCTCCTTGAGGGGTGGACTCGAAGCAGACCTCTGTGAAGATCTGTGGAGTAGCTAAGGTAAGAGGTCCTTTAGGTTTTTCCGTGGACTCTAAGATGGCGGAGGGTGGGGGCAGGGAGCATCAGCACTCACTGTCGGATGGTCTCCATCTGCTCTTTCACGGACATGCCCCCAATGCAGAGAGCGCAGCGCAGGAGTGGCGAGCTGTCCTCCTGCAGCAGGCGGCAGTAGTACTCCAGGATGCCATGGGTCTGCCGGGCCAGCTCCCGCTGCAGGCAGAGGGACAAGGGCTGGCACCAGATGGCAGCCCCAGTCTCTGCCCTGCCCTCCAGGGTAGCCTATCTTACTGAGGGGCAGATGATGAGTCCATAGGGCCCCTCGCGCTTTGAGAAAGGTAACCTCTTCTCTTGTTCCAGGCAGAACATGATGACAGGCAACGTGAACACCAGTGTCTTGCCAGAACCCGTGAAGGCGATGCCTATCATGTCACGGCCAGATAGACTGTTGGGAGAGGATGACTCAAGGGTCAATTTCAACAGAAGATGAAGGACACCTACCCACTGCTTCTCCCTGTTACTGCCCTCCTCGAGGACCCCAGGTCCACAGTCCACACTCACATGGTAGGGATGCCCTGGATCTGAATGGGTGTTGGGTGGTGGATGCCTTTCTTCTTCAGGCCTCTCAGGATGGCTATGAAAAACAACCGACACCGTCCTTGTGACTCACAGGTACTTTCTCAGAGCCCTAAAGCGTGTAAAATTGGTACTACCACTTCAAGTTGCAGATGATGAAATTGAGGCTCAGAGAGAGGGAAAAAAAAGAAAAAAAAGAGACTTGTCCAAGGCCCACAGGCTAGGTGCAGCCAAGATTTCTATCCAGTGTCTACGCCCAATGTCACTTTCCTTCTGAAGCTTCGTAACAGCACAGAACAGTGAACACATACAGCTGCGGCAACAGGGAACCTAAAGAAACTTCTCCTCATATCCCTCCAGCCCTAGTGACTGGACCCAACGCAGATGTGGCTGAGCTCAGCGGAGGCTAGGACATAACCGCACAAGTATTTGATTATAAAAGTGTAATCTCGCCGGGCGCGGTGGCTCAAGCCTGTAATCCCAGCACTTTGGGAGGCCGAGGCGGGTGGATCACAAGGTCGAGAGATCGAGACCATCCTGGTCAACATGGTGAAACCCCGTCTCTACTAAAAATACAAAAAATTAGCTGGGCACGGTGGTGCGTGCCTGTAATCCCAGCTACTCGGGAGGCTGAGGCAGGAGAATTGCCTGAACCCAGGAGGCGGAGGTTGCGGTGAGCCGAGATCGCGCCATTGCACTCCAGCCTGGGTAACAAGAGCGAAACTCCGTCTCAAAAAAAAAAAAAAAAAAAAAAGTGTAATCTCGCCGGGCGCGGTGGCTCAAGCCTGTAATCCCAGCACTTTGGGAGGCCGAGGTGGGTGGATCACGAGGTCAAGAGATCGAGACCATCCTGGTCAACATGGTGAAACCCTGTCTCTACTAAAAAATACAAAAATTAGCTGGGCATGGTGGCCTGTGCCTGTAATCCCAGCTACTCAGGAGGCTGAGGCAGGAGAATCGCCTGAATCCAGGAGGCGGAGGTTGCGGTGAGCCGAGATGGCGCCATTGCACTCCAGCCTGGGTAACAAGAGCAAAACTCCGTCTCAAAAAAAAAAAAAAAAAAAAAAAAAAAAAAAAAAAAAAAAGTGTAATCTCTCTCCAGCCCGAGTACCTGCAGGAAACTTCATTTCCTTGAAGCTCTTGATGGGTGGTGGGATACCGTCTCCCTCCACAAGGATGTGGTATTTCTTCCGCACGCGCTCATGTCGCTCTTCAGACATGCTCAGGACATAACGGGGCGGAGTCCAACTGTGGATGGGTAACAGGGATCAAGTAGCCCTGGGCACAGCTGGCCTGGGAGCATTCCTGCACATACCATCCTAAGCAAGGGCAACTGCAGACTGTATAGACATACCTGGTTTTGATGGGGTCATCATATGTGATGCCCTTAGCCATCTCCTTCACTGACATCAATGCTGAGGAGAAAGATAAGGCTCAAGGCTGGCTTCTGCTTCTGAGAGGCCAGATCCCTTGAGATATAACATGCCTGAAGCTGGTAGGAGGAGACTCAGTCCACCTCCTCATTATCCTGGCTACAGCCATACCTCGGCCCTCAGCCACACTCTCCAGAATCTTCTCTTCTTCCTTCAGCTGCTTCTCCTTGGCAGACTCTTTGCGGGCTGAGAAAAGTGGAAGATGTCAGACAGACACCAACAGGATGCGCCAGGCTCAGCTTCTCCCTTCCCACCCAGGCGGTGCTGTTCAGCCCACCTTCAGCCTTCTCTTTAAGGTGCTGGTGCTGATCCAGGAGGCTGACGTTGGACTGAGGGCCCAGTGGGATGTCATCCTCATCACCCCGGGGTTCGCTGCCACTGTCCTGCTGCTCTTCCTCCGCAGCTCCCTTGCGTCTTCGCTGCAGCAGCTTCTGGAGCTAAGGTTCCACCCGGGTCCCACAGATAGAATGGGCACGGGGTCCATAGGGCCCACATCAGGATCCTGGCTTTGGGGCGAGGGTCCTGTGCCCGAGGCGCAGAGCTGCCCTACCCCTCAGATCAGGCCGTTGGTCCCTCGTCTGCCTGGGGGCCGCGCCCCGGTGCACTGAAGCTCACTCCTCGGACAGCCCTCCTCTCCATCGAGGCCGAGGCCACGCCCGTCCCCTGCGACTTGGCGATCACTACCCCATCCCTCCCCGGACGCTGGCCCCTCACCAGTAGCTGGCGGCGCTGCCGTAACGGCACATAGGGCACGTAGTCCTCGTCGTCCTCATCCTCCGCCTCGGAGCGGCTTCCTCCGGCAGTCGCCTCGTCGGTGCGAGCCCGCTGCAAGCACACGGGAGTCAGACACAGCCGGCCCCCTTCTTCACGCACGCTCCCACCCGCGCGGAGCCTCCCCTGGCCCCTACCTTCCGCTCGGGTTCCGACTCCTCCATTCTTTGCTGCACGCATGTGCGCCGCAGCCAAACCCCGCCTCATCTTTGCGTGGGACCCAATCCGATGTGAAGAAGCGAACGTCGGCGCCTAGCAACGACCTCGGAGTTCCGGATCGCGCAGAGGGACAAATTTGCTCCGGAGCCGCTATCGCCCTCCTGGGTGGTTACGCGGTGGCTGCCAGGACCGAGGGCGAAAGCGGTAGCAAGGCATTGTGGGACACTGGAAGACTTGGAGCATGCGCTGAAAGGCTCAACCAAGTCCAAGGGAAGAGGAAGACGCTCGCGGTGGAGACCGCTGATCTCGAGTCGGGGCGGCCTGCCAGGTGCCCAGCCTCTCCCAGGGCATGGCGTCTTGGGCACTCCCCTGCCGGCGGACAGTGCGCCCTCTAGGGCCGGGTGTTCCGGGCCGAGTTCGCGTGGGCCGCCTGCGCCTCCATCACTGCCGGGGCAGCCGGGGTTGCTGGGTAAACCGTTGCTCGACGCAACCCGCCGCTCTGCCTGCTCCTGCCTGGGGGACGCATCGGATACGGAAGGCAGTGGTTTTGAACTGGGAGGCCCCGTATAAATGCAAACGATTATTACTGTAAATGCTCTAACGGAGCTGCCTGGGGGGGCGCTTCCTGGGAAGCGTGGGAATCTCAGGCCAGGAGAGGCGTCCTGGGCCAGGGCCTAGCAGGAATACAGGTCTGGCGATGTGCAAGTACACAGATTCACCCGGAGACAGCACTGCGTCTAGGGTAGGATGGGCAGCCAGCGCTAAGGCCGGAGGAGACTGCGCGCAGAGCACGCGTGCGGGTGACTGTCAGAGTAAGTGGTTTCAACTTTTATTAGACTTCTGAGGAGGAATGACTTGGTCAGCTCCGGGCTTTATTCCTGAATGCTGGGCAAAGCGCTGAAGCGGATGATAATCAAGACACACACACACACACACACACACAAAGGCCGGGCGTGGTGGCTCACGCCTGTAATCCAAGCACTTTGGAGGCTAAGGCGGGTGGATCACCTGAGGTCGGGAGTTGAAGACCAGCCTGACCAACATGGTGAAACCCCGTGTGGGAGGAGCTTATGATTTAGTTGAGACTAGAAATATACACAGATAACTGGTGAAGTTAAAGAGAAAGATCCTAAGATAAGGAACCGCTTTCGGAAGGGTCACAGTTTTCATATAACTATGTATAGTATACATAGTATAACGATGTTTATATACACAGTATAACTATGTATAGTATACATAGTATAACTTTATATACACAGTATAACTATGTATAGTATACATAGTATATATATATACACTATAGTATATACATAGTGTAACTATGTGTATATACATAGTGTAACTATATGTATAACATAGTATAACCAACGGCCTGATCTGAGGGGTAGGGCAGCTCTGCGCCTCGGGCACAGGACCCTTGCCCCAAAGCCTCTCGGCTAGGATGTGAGGGATACATAGGAATTCATGAAAAAAGGGTAAACTATGAGGAGGAAAATATGTGAAAGTTGGGAGACCTGACAGCATGGGACCTAACTGGAGAGGAAGGTCGTCCAGCATGGCTGGAACAAGTACTGGAGTCACGGGCCCAGGCACAAAGGTCCCAAATGCCACTCACGTAAGTCTTTTTCTGTAGATAGATGGGCTGCTTGGTCAGACCTGCAAATTTTGGATGAAGCAGAATTTTAGGTAGCACTGCCAATTCAACTGCAGTAGGGCAGGAATGTACAACAGCCCACAGGAGAGAGGAACACAGCCAATAAATACAGAGAAAGGTTTCACAGGGAAGTGTCCACTTTTCCCTTGGGGATTGGGAAAGGCCGGCGACCAGGAACTGTGAGTCTGTGGGCACTGCTGTTCTTTTCTTTAGTTTAAAAAAAAAAAAAAAAAAAAAAGCTTATGGTGGGCACAGTGACTCATTCCTGTAATCCCAGCTCTCTGGGAGGCCAAGGCAGGAGGATGGCTTGAGGCCAGGAGTTTGAGACCAGCCTGGACAACATAGCAAGACCCCATCTCTAAAAAAAAAACAAACAAACAAATAAAAAGCTGGTGCTTACTGCTAGTCTCATGGTGGGTCTCAACCTGGAAAAGATGGAGGACGTGGTTTCTGGTCCTGCTCATAACACTCAAATACATGGCTCTTCGTGACCCTGTGAGCTCCCCACGTAAGCTCGAGTTGGTTTTAGGAGCAAAAACTAAATTTGGGGCATGGGGTTTGGACACAAGTGTGTGAAGGGTATTTTGGGCAAACTCATTATATTAAAACTTAAATTCACAAACCACATCAATTTCAGGGAATGAGACAGTTTGCTTGACTTTACAGAAGGATTCATTATCCTCTTAACTCTCAAGTCCTCAGCTGTATGTCCCACCCCCACTGGAAACTCAGATCTAATTTATTAAAAAACTCAATTTGAACTTTTTTTTTTTTTTGAGACGGAGTTTCGCTCGTTACCCAGGCTGGAGTGCAATGGCGCGATCTCGGCTCACCGCAACCTCCGCCTCCTGGGTTCAAGCAATTCTCCTGCCTCAGCGTCCCAAGTAGCTGGGACTACAGGCGTGCGCCACCATGCCCAGCTAATTTTTGTATTTTTAGTAGAGACGGGGTTTCACCATGTTGACCAGAATGGTCTCGATCTCTTGACCTTGTGATCCACCTGCCTTGACCTCCCAAAGTGCTGGGATTACAGGCGTGAGTCACCGCGCCCGGCCTAATTTGAACTTTTAAAAAGCCTTATTCTGGCTGGGCTCGGTGGCTCACGCCTGTAATCCCAGAACTTTGGGAGGCCGAGGCGGGTGGATCACAAGGTCAAGAGATCAAGACCGTCCTGGTCAACATGGTGAAACCCCGTCTCTACTAAAAATACAAAAAAATTAGCTGGGCATGGTGGCGCGTGCCTGTAATTCTAGCTACTCAGGAGGCTGAGGCAGGAGAATTGCCTGAACCCAAGAGGCGGAGGTTGCGGTGAGCCGAGATTGCGCCATTGCACTCTAGCCTGGGTAACGAGCGAAACTCCGTCTCCAAAAAAAAAAAAAAAAAAAAAGCCTTATTCTAATTAAAATTAACAAAACAAACGAAAAAACTCAATTTACCCCCAACTTCCTCTGACTGTGTGTGAAGTCAGTATGAGGGGCCTTGATGGCCCAGGCTACAGGTCTATGAAGGCCTTAGGGTCTTTCCTACACCTTTTCTCACATCCATATACACAGAGACCAACTTCAACCTCCCCAACTCACCCAACTTGCAAAGAGGGAAACAAGAAAGAGTGGGGAAGGGGCTGCCCTAGGCTAACATACCAGAGTTCTCCCAACAGGAGAAAAGGGCACAGATGCCAGAGTCATACCAGTCTGTGTTCAACCCTAAGTTCAGCTGAGTCCCTTTCCTATTGGCTTCAGTTTCCTCATCTGTAAAATGGGACAATAGTACTAAACTGCTGATGGATGGCACATGCTAAGGTTAGTGACTAAGGCAGAGCCCACGCTTCTGAGCACACCCTCAACTCCCTCCCGACCCAGACCAGCAAATCACCAACATGCCAACTCTGTGTCCAAATGTTGCTTTATCTTTCAGCATGAAAGATCTTCACAGTATCAAAAGTAAAGAATTGGAAAAAAATAAAATAAACCAAAAAAACCAAAAAACCAAACACAAAGAGAGCAGTGTTGGGCCAGCAGTACCATCAGCCCCGGCCCTTAGGCCAGCCCAGTCCGCAGGCTCTGAGTGTGGAGGCTGCGTAGCACCAGGAAGCGGCTCTGCTGAGGTCAAGGGGCCCCAGCACAGTGTGGCATCCATTCAGCTTTTGGTTGGTCCAGGATGGTGGGGAGCAGAGAGGGTCTTAGGTGGGTAGCTGGAGCACATGGAGGGAAAAACTGTAGGCCTTCAGCTGGCAGTCAGAGCCTCAGGACACCCTGAAGAAGCTCAGCCTGGGCAGGGTCTGAGAAAGAAAAAAAGAGCAGGATCACAGTAAACAACAGCTCATGCTCCAGCCTTCCTGTGCCATTTGGTTCCCCATGGGTCTTTGGTGGCAGAAACAGCTGGCTATTTTTGTTCCCTGGGCTGAAAATGTTGAACAGATTCCCTGGGTCACCTGCAGCAGAGGATGAAGGTTAATGGGTTGGGGGACACAGCCCCAGTCCTGGGATCCTGACAAGATGTGGGACAATCTAGTAGATCCAGCCTCTGGCACTTGGTGTCCATCGGCAGGTGCTGGGAGGCCAGCTGTGCAGCTGTGCTCTTGCCTCTGACTCTAGGTGCACAGCCGGGAGAAGGGTGGAGAGGGTCAAATGAGAGCACTTAGGAGGGGTGGGGAGAGTGGCATCTCCTATCCTGGAAAAGAGACCAGACAAGGTGAAAAAGGGTCAAGAGGAAGGAGACGGTTGCATTTGATTTCCTGGATGACAGAACTGGGCTTGTGGGAGGAGATTCAATCTCTTTTTCTCTCAGTAGGAATAACAGATGAAGGGCTTGGGGTTCCTGCTGCTCCTGGTTCCCATGGAGGTGGAGAAGACAGGTGGGAGGGCACCTGGGCTCTGGAAGACACTTCTGGGGCTTATGGGCCTCTTAATTTGGCAAAGGGGGCTGACTGAGCATAGCCCCCTCAGAGCAGAGGAGGACTAAAGTGAGTGTAAGGAAGACGATCTGGACTCTGGAGCAGCACAAAGATCACAGGGAGCCCCAGCTCTAAAGCCTGCCCTGGCTGCAGCTCTCTGGGCTGCCCCTGGGGAGCTAAGGGTCCAGGAAGTCTGCTGCTTAGGCCCAGAGAGGAGCTGCTCTGGCAACGGAAAGAGGAAAAAAGACAGGTGGGGCCATCAGAGGGAAGTGAGTTGTTTGTGAGCTCAGCTGCCTGCCTCGGCTTTCCACTGTCTCCAGAACAGCTGTGTGGTTGCCAGCCAGAAAAGGCCTCATCCCAGGGGTGCAGCTGAGGGTTGAGATATGAAACTGCAGAGCCACTTGGCCCCCAGCCCTGCCCAAGGCCTGCCTGTTAGCTGCCCTTCTCTTCTCTCATCAACAGGGTTCCAGGCTCAATGCTGTCTTCAGTCTTCTGTTCCCAGTCCAGATCCATCATCTGAGACCTCAGTTTCAGACAAAAGGACCCGTGTGGGTGGCTGGGAGGGGATGCCGAAGCCATGTGGCAGCCAGGTCTCTTCTTCTGGGAGGCAGTGTGGCTACCAATATCCTCATGGAACTTGTCCCGCTTCGGGGAGCCCCTATTAACTCCTCCATGCCTAAATGACCTACAAAGTGTCGGACCTACAAGATGGCTGTCCTCTATGATGTGCCCTCAGGGCCAGCCCCTTCTTACACTGCTTCAGCTGGGAAGCACCTTGGTAGCCTACACTGAGGAGTCCAGGCCAGGAAGTAGGACTTGACGCGAGGTATGGTAACGTTAGGGGTGAGGGCAGCCCTAGGGGTCCAATAGCTACCTGAGCACTTCGGAAAGCAGCTTGTAAGACCCTAGTGATGACACCCTAAGGGATGGCAGTCCAGGAAGGGGCCCTTCAGGAACATGGGCAGGAGGGCCCAGGGAGGAGGAATAGAAGAACAGAGGCCTATGGCTGAGTGGCTGTAGGAGGAAATGGGGCCCAGACGTCTGGAGACTGTAGCCAGTTGTGCCATTGCTGTGGAGGTGCAGAAGCCAGGGCTCCCATGCCCAGAGTCCAACTCCCTCTGCCCCAGAGCACAGAATGGTCTGGCAGGGGCACAGAAGGTGGCTAAGCACAGGCAGAGGCAGTGCATGTAACATTTGGGGTCTGTGTACCTCACTGAGCTGTGCTGGGAGTGGTTTTCTTGAGGCTGAAGTTGGTCCAGTTCACAGCAACTTTCTGACGAGTTTGCTTTGCAGAATCCAAACAGAACCTGTTGGATTTGAGGGACACAAGAGAAGGACAATCAGAGGTTCCGTCCCTTCCTCACCGGACTCCTGAGGTACCATGTCCCCATCACTAAGAAACCAGGTTCTCTACACAACCTCTTTGGCTTTCAGGTGTCAGGGTTTAGCAGGCATGGGAGCTTTGCTGGCTTGGGGGCTTCTGGACTGGACCCAGGGGACAACGTATGAAGACAATGACACTGCCCTGGGATTCCAGTTCCCTCCTCAACTGGTATTTGACTTTCTAGCTCTGCTGGACTGGCTTCCATGATTCCCTTAAGTACAGCTGTCCCTCTGAATCTGCAGGGGATTAGTTCCAGGACCGCCCCAGATACGGAAATCTGCAGATGCACAAGTTCTTTATATAAAGTGGTGTAGAATTTGCATATAACCTACACAGCTCTTCCCATATACTTTATTTATTTATTTATTTATTTATTTTTTAAAAAAGAGAGAGATGGGGTTGCACTATATTGACCAGGCTGGTCTCAAATTCGAGCTCAAGTAATCCTCCCACCTTGGCCTTCCAAAGTGCTGATCCCAGGTGTGAGCCACCGTACCTGGCCTTCCCATATACTTTAAGTCATCTCTAGATTACTTAAAGACATTAAATGCTATATAGTTATTACATATTTATTTATTTATTTATTTATTTATTTATTTATTTTGAGACGGAGTTTCCCTCTTGTTACCCAGGCTGGAGTGCAATGGCGCGATATCGGCTCACCGCAACCTCCGCCTCCTGGGTTCAGGCAATTCTCCTGCCTCAGCCTCCTGAGTAGCTGGGATTACAGGCACGCGCCACCATGCCCAGCTAATTTTTTGTATTTTTAGTAGAGACGGGGTTTCACCATGTTGACCAGGTTGGTCTCGATCTCTCGACCTTGTGATCCACCCGCCTCGGCCTCCCAAAGTGCTGGGATTACAGGCTTGAGCCACCGCGCCCGGCTATTTATTTATTTTTGAGACAGTGTCTTGCTCTGTTGCCCAGGCTGGAGTGCGATGGCACAGTCTTGGCTCACTGCAACCTCTGACTCCCAGGTTCAAGTGATTCTCCTACCCCAGCCTCTTGAGTAGTTTGGATCACAGGCATGAGCCACCATGCCCAGCTAATTTTTGTATTTTTAGTAAAGATGTGGTTTCACCATGTTGGCCAGGCTGGTCTTGAACTCTGGACCTCAAGTACCTTGGGTTATCTGCCTGCCCTGGCCTCCCAAAGTGCTGAAATTACAGGTGTGAGCCACGGCCTGTAAAAATACCCTTTTTTTTTTTTTTTTTGAGATGGAGTCTCACTCTGTGGCCCAAGCTGGAGTGCAGTGGCACAATCTCAGCTCACTGCAGCCTCTCTCCCAGGTTTCAGTGATTCTCCTGCCTCAGCCTCCCGAGTATAGCTGGGATTACAGGCACGTGCCACCAGGCCTGGCTAATTTTTGTATTTTTAGTGGAGACAGGGATTCACCATGTTGGTCAGGCTGGTTCTCCAACTCTTGACCTCAGGTGATCTGCCTGCTTCGGCCTCCCAAAGTGCTAGGATTAGAGGTGTGAGCCACCGTGCCCGGCCCAAAATACTAATTTAAAAAAAATTCACGGCCGGGCGCGGTGGCTCACACCTATAATCCCAGCACTTTGGGAGGCCGAGACGGGTGGATCACGAGGTCAAGAGATCGAGACCATCCTGGTCAACATGGTGAAACGCCGTCTCTACTAAAAATACAAAAAGTTAGCTGGGCATGGTGGCGCACGCCTGTAATCCCAGCTACTCGGGTGGCTGAGGCAGCAGAATTGCCTGAACCCAAGAGGCGGAGGTTGCGGTGAGCCGAGATCGCGCCATTGCACTCCAGCCTGGGTAATGAGCAAAACTCTGTCTCAGAAAAAAAGAAAAAAAAAAATTCACATTACTTAGTAATGTATTGCTATTTTTGTACTTTTTTTTCTTGAATATTTTTGATCCGCTGATGCAGAACCTGCAGATGTGGAGGGTGACTGTATGCTGTGTGTCTTTCCCCCTAATCTTTTGTACTCACTGGCCCCCCCAGCGTAAATACTTTTTCATTTTATCTGGCCAACTCATTATCACTTCAGGTTCAGCTTGGTTACCACCTCTCTTGGGAAGGCCTCCTGGCCAGCCCCCACCCCTTCCATCCTTCCCAGCCCCATGGCATTTATCAGTAGGCTGTGTGTTCATGGCCATCTAGACTCTTTGTCTAGACTGCTTCATTGACCTCCGCCCAGGCAAAGCAGAGAATGTGCAAGTGAAGACAAAGCAAACAGCTGGAAAAAGCCCTGGTTCTTGGAGCCTGACATGCCTCCTCCTCTCTGTCTCTTGTACGTTCCTGGATGTGCCATCCCACTCAGTGGCTCTGTGAGTTTTCAGCAGGCAGGCTGGTGGGAGAGGGCCTACAGGGGCGGCAAGCCTCCCCAAGGGGTCAGGGGCAAGGGAGCAGACCTTTCTGAGGCCTGAGGCACACCATGGGGCTTGAGTGTCGGCAGGACCTGGAGTCCTCCACAGTGGGAGAGCAGGCAGCCCACACCTACCTCTTAAAGTACTCCACCTCTCGGTCAGTCTCATCCATCTCCACCCCGTCCATGTCCTTGGGCAGGAACACATCGTCTAGGAAGACACAGCCAGGAGGGCTCAGTGCCCATGGCCAGGCCTCTGGGGTTATGGTCTGGGGGCAGCGTTGCCTACACACAAAGGCTGCCCCTCCACCCCGTGGCCTGGCTGGGGTAGGGGGTCAGCCACTCGGTTCCTGGTGCACTCACCCAAGGAGGAGGCTGGCTTCTCCTGCTTGTTGCGGCTCCGGCGGCTGCGGCCCTTGCCCTGGGGCAAGCTCTGTGGCCTTGCTGGGCCTGGGGGCTGCACAGACTCCTGCTCCGGAGGCCGTGCCTTGGCCTCGCCTGACCAGTTTCGCCAAGAGCTGCCCTTTTCCTTCTCAGTTTTGGGGCTGCCGGCCCAACCTGGTCCTGGCCGGCTCCCCCGGCTCCCCTCTCCAGCCTCAGCACAGCTGCCTACTTTGGGAGGCTCTGGGACCTTGCCTGGCTGCTTGGGGCCAGCAACCTGGCCCTTGGCAGTGGGAGCCTCTAGGCTGGCTGGGGGTTGGGGGCCTGGGCTTGCTTCGCTCTTCTTGGTTTGACTGCCCTGCCTCTTGCCCTTCCGCGGCTTCCCACCTGAGGCCACAGGCTCAGGCAGCTCCTGCTTGCAACTGGGAACATCCTTTGAGCTTGGCTCCTCAGAGCTGGGGTAACTCGGCTTGGGCGTCTTGACCCAGATCACCCGGGACAGGTTGGGCACGGTGTTGAGTCTCCTGACGAGCCCGTTCTCAGGGACGATACCGGGAGGGGGGCCCCTCACCTCTGTCCATGGTGGGTGGGGGCCTCTCATTTCCGTCCATGGTAAGGCTGGCTCGCCTGGAACTTGTAACGTGTGGTTCTGGGGTGAGGCCAAAGTCAAAGGGGACAGGTCAAGGTTGATGTCAGGCTGCTGCTCTGCCAAGCCACTGAGGTTTGAGGGGGGTAGGCTCTGAGGCTCAGGCTCAGCAGCTCCCTCCTTAGAGAAGCCATTGCTGTCCATGCTGAGCTCACACACACTGAAGCTGGAACGGATGGAGTCCTTGACAGTGTTTTGGATCTCCTGCAGACGGCTGCTCAGGAAGCTGTTGACCCGATCCAGTTCCTGGTCGGGCCACTCCAAGAACTTCTCCCCGGCAGGCCTTGGCTCCTGGCTTCCAGAAACACGATTCGCCTGCTTTAGAGCTTCTGCTGCCAACTGGGCCTTCTCCTTTTCCTGCCAAGACAAGAGGCAGTTTCAGCAGGGGCCTGTCAACTTCTAGGCACAATGTGATACCTGACCTATCAACCTGGGGCCCAGCTTTGCCATAAACTTGCTGGAGGCAAAGCCTTAAAATCGTAGCCTGCTTACCTACCCTGCAGGAATGAAGGCAAAATGCAGCCACATAGGTGCATGTCCTGGCGGCAGGGGTACAGTCACACCCACAGAGGGTAGGGTGTTTACAGCTTGTTCACCCAGAGTCCCAGTCTCAGTGCACTCATCTGCACAATGGGGACAATAATTCCGAAGTAAAGCCAAAGTGGGGATGCATGTGAAGACTGCTACTAGAGAGGCATTCTCTCCACCCCTGCAGGTGGTGGGAAAAAAGCCACACCCCATCATGGGGTCTTACAGGAGGCAGGTGTTGGGACAGATGAGACTGCTCTGGTTGAGAGGGCATGTACCTTCCTGATGCTATGTCTGGGTATTACCAAAGAGGGCAGTGTTCCCGTAGAAAGGCCACATTGCTGCACACTTGGTCTCAAGCAATCAAGGCCACACCTAGAGTGTGCCCAGTGGCATACCATAGACAACCACACTGGCCTACACAGCAAGATGTGAGAGCTGCTCCTTTACTCAAGTGAGGCCTGGAAGGCTCAGAGAGGCTGGGCCCTGCCAGTTGGCTTTGATAGAACTGGATCTAGGGAAGTGAAATGAGTGCCTGCTACCATCTCAGAGTCAACACAAAGAGGGTGACTCTGTGCTCCAGCAGGCAGGCACTTATACTCTCATCTTTTGTGAACCCTGGCTCCGCAACGGACCATGGTTCATTGTTCTCTGGGACCTGGGACAAATCACTTACTCTCTCCGAACCTTACTTTTCCTATGTGTAAATCAGTAAGAAGAGGTATCTCTACATTCCAGGGTCACTATGAGGACAGCTAAGAGTCTGTGTGGGGTCCCTTCCCATGTGCGAAGGTGAGGCTGGGCCTCATAACCCTCAGGGAGCAGCTCATCCTGTGGCAGCTGCAGCAGCATTGTAGCTATGGGTAGAGCTCAGAGGCCCTGGGTTTGGATCAATGAGGACTGAGGGCCCTTCAGGTCGCTTCCCCCCAGCACCATACAGATTTCACAGAAAAGTTTTGCTGCTAAAAAAAAAAACAGTCTGACAACTACGGGTGTGGAGGGAGTGACAAGGAACCATATACACTCTGGTAGGAAGAGAAGAAAGCACAGAAACATACACTTTCTGCTCTGTATGGTGAGCACTGCCCATAGGTATCTCTTTTAATCCTCGCCACTGTCTTCGCTGCATCATGACCCTCTGTTTATAGGAGAGAAACCTCGACTTTGGAAAGAACAGGAAGTGGCGAGGAAGTAGGAGAGCCGGGACAAAACACCCAGGCCTCTTCTTTAGAAGTTCGTATGTTTCTCAATTCCATCTGACCATTTACCAACCATCGAGGCTATGAGGCAGTGGGGCAGGCCCTGTGAGTTTAGTGTACGAGCGACAGTCTCCACCTCACTGACTTTAGTCTGCTGGGGGAGACCATAGCAAACAGCCTGTTGAATTGAGAGTGACAGTGACAAGTGCTGCCTGGAAGCACGCACAGGGTGACCTGGGAAACTAGAGGAGGTGCTCCCAACCCAGACTGGGTCACCAGGGTGTGCTTCCCAGAGGCGGCAGGGAACCTGAGCACTGAAGCGGGAGTGGGATCATCCTGGAGGCAGTGAGACAAGCATTTTCTAGAGAAGGAACAGCAAGCAGAAAGGCTGGAAACGGAAAAGCTTCTGGGAATGCAAATCATTCAGAGGTACAGCTGTAGCCCAGATTTTTTAGGGGATGTAGGGGTTGGATGGGGCAGATGGGCAGGAAGGCCAGAAAGGAGAGGCTGATAAAGCTGGCAAGCTGGGCAGGGGCTGACTGTGAAGACCCCTGCAGGCCCTACAGGGTGTGTGCCCAAGGGCAATGTCCAGCCACTGATGGCTTTTAAGGTAGTGGTAGTAGGGTGGAGAGCAGTGGACTGGTCTGAGCTATCAGCGAGGTGGCATGGATAGGGCTTTTGGTGATGGGTAGGGACAGAGAATGAGGTAAGTCAGAGACATTGACAACCACTATGGCTGCCATAGCAGCTCCACTGCCCGCGCACTCACACGTGCCAGGCACTCTGCCCAACCTTTCCATGCATCATTCCATTTCATCCTCACAACAATCTAGGACTTAGGTTCTGTTATTCTCATTTTATGGATGAAGAAACTGAGGCTTAGAAGTTAAGTGATGTGCCCAAGGTCATACAGCAAGTGTGGCAGAGCCAAGCATCAAACTGTGATCCAGTTCGAGGCATGCTGCTCTGGGTCGCTATGATGCACTCGTCAGGCCAACACCGAGGGCTCCAGCTCAGGCAACAGGGTGGGAGGCAGTGCCACTCACTAGACAGACAACAGAGAATGGATAGCAGGCCTCTTTGGAGAAAGACTACAAGCTGAACTTTGGATGTGCAGAGTCTGAGATGCCTGTGGGATGTGCACAAGGAGATGCCCAGTAGCAGCTGGAGATTTGGATGTGCAGGGCAGGGAGGAAACATTATCTGGCTGTTTCTAGATGGCATCTCTCTTTCCCAAGGAGATGTACCCTAGGAAGGAGGGTAAAGTAGAGGAAGAGGAGCTCACAAAGGAGACAGAAAGGACATCAGAGAGGAAGGTAAGAAATCTGGAGAACATGGCAGTCCCCCTGCCCTTTCCTGCCTGGCTGAGGACAGAGGAGCCAAAGGCAATGCTTAAGAAGGACAAACACAAAATGCCAGATGTTCTCTCGTGGACTGATATGACGGCAACAGGACAGGAGAATGGATTTGGCAACAGAAAAGTCACTGGTGACTCTGGAGAGGGTGTGGGTAGTAAACAGTCTGCAGTGAGCTAACTGGAGGCGAAGTGAAGACAGTGAATGCAGACATCGTTTTTCAAGAAATGTGGATGTGATGACAGGAAAGGGGCTGGGGAGGGGCTGAGAGAGAGGTACCAGGCTTTACTTCCAACAGAGAGTGGTGGACACCATGAAACGTGGATAGGCACAGCAAGGCGGAGAGACTAAGCTATAGCAGGAGCCTGTGGCTGGGCTGAGGGGTCAAGAAAGTACCACATGGGCCTTAGGTGGGAAAAGGGTGATTCTCATGACAAAGAAGAAAGTAGGTTTGCAGGTGGGAATGGCAAGGCAGCAGGAGAATCCCTGTACAGTGGCTTTTTTCCTCATTGAAATAGAAAGTGAAGTTATTTGCCAAAAAATAAGGCATGGGCTGGTAAGGCCTAGCGGTTTGAGAATGGAGGCCTGACAGAGGGACTGTGGGGAATGGACGTGCTAAGGCACAGGAAGCCCAGGGAACCGTGAGAAGCCTGCCTGGTGACATGGGAGCTCGGGAAGCGTAGTCCACATGGCTGGGTGCCACAGATTCACTCACGTGCTTTTCTTGAGATGTAGAAAGGGAGAGCCAGACTGGGGTGGAACCCAGGGCTGCGGTGTTTCTGAGTGGGTCTGAAGGAAAGACAGTGGGGCAAGGAATCGAGTACTGGTAAGAGAGTGAGTGATGGGTCAATTTGCCTGCCCTCCTACCAATACTTAGCAGTGCTTACTCCATTCAAGTGAGTGAAGAACAGACTGGCCTGGGAAGAAGAGAAAGCGGCAGGAGAGTCTTCAGTGGATGTGGAGGAGTGGTACGGAGGTCACAGATGACACAGCCAGGGGTGCGGTTTTAAAGGAGCAGGCTAATTGTCTCTCTGCTCCCCTCTCCCACTGCCAACCCATGACTTTCCCCTTTGTGTAGACAGAAGACACCGAGACAGAAGGAGAGAGGGCCACGGGCTGGCAGTGGGAAAAGGGAGCAGACAGACACCGGGGTTTGTCCATCCGCCGAGGCAGGAGAGAAGGAACAGCTGTCATGAAACAGCCACTGGGGGCAGCTGGGCTTTAGTGGACAGCCACACCGTGAAGTCCAGGAGGTAGAGGGAGACAAGGGAGGAGGCTGCTGTCTACAGAGATAATGACCACAATCTCCGTACACATGATACTGCCACTGCCTATTTATTCCTGCAGCCCCATGCCTAAGTCTGGAAAGGCAGGGCTGCCTGGTTCTGCCTGGGCCTGCCCGACAGGAGCTGTGCAGTGAGCTGCGGGATGAGTGAGCAGAACCTCGAGATACATGAGGTGGGGCAGGAATACAGTGGAAGTTACCCAAGGGCGGCTATGAAGGAGGAAGCAGCTGAACTGAACTTGGAAGGAAAGTTTGTCAGAAGAAAAGGAGAGAGAAGATAACATTATCAGTAAAGGGGAAGAGACATCTGGGCACACAAGACTTACGAAAAGCACACCAGACCTGGGAACTGGGGACCTAATTGGGAACCACTGCCCTAAGAAGCCAGGAAAGGCCAGGGGGACTACTGCAGCCCACTGAACCTTTCTGGCTGGGTGACTCTGCATGGGGGAAAGACAGTGCTGACCACATTCAGAAGGCAGTGGTGGGACCGCTTGGCTCACTACTTCAGGTGGCAGGAGAAGGATCCTGGTTGTCCTTGGGGCTGAAAAAGGATGGCGAATCACTTCTGCTTTCCAAAGCACTAGGGCTGTTTGACCACCCAGGAACTGGAACTAGCTGGTTGTTACACCCAAATCTCTTCGGATGCTGAGCTCCCAAGCGTGTCACTGTGCAGATGCAGTTGGGAGTAGGCAGATGAAGAGGTAATGAAGCCACAAGGGATAAGCCATCAAGCTCCAGGGCTCATCTGGCAGGAGGGCTGCCTGGGAATAGCTCACCGGGTTCCATCCTCAGCCCCGAGGACTGGTTCATTCCCCTGGCTTCAATTACATCTCTGTGCTGGTAAATGCTAGCCCTGCACTTCTCCACTTAGAGATCTCACGGGAACCTTCGAGTCAACACGCCTCAACTGAATTCACTGTCTTCTGCAAATCCATCCTGGCTCAGTGAAAGGCACCACCATCTTGATAGTCACCAAGCAAACACCTGGGAGACATCCCTGCCTCCATCTCCCTCTCCTGCCATCAGATCAATGGCCCATCACTTCGGCTTCCTCTGAAAATCCCTCTCTTCTTCTCTGGCCCCACCATCAGTCATCTCTCCCTGGGCCCGCATTTCCTGCCTGAGGCATCGAACTTGAGGTCTTCCTGCCTAGAACCCTCCAAGCTACCTTCCATTTGGCCACGCTATAATCTTAGGATGCAGGTGTGACCAAGTGCATTCTTTTTTTTTTTTTTTTTTTTTGAGGCGGAGTTTCACTCCTGTTACCCAGGCTGGAGTGCAATGGCGCGATCTCGGCTCACCGCAACCTCCGCCTCCCGGGTTCAGGCAATTCTCCTGCCTCAGCCTCCTGAGTAGCTGGGATTACAGGCACGTGCCACCATGCCCAGCTAATTTTTTGTATTTTTAGTAGAGACGGGGTTTCACCATGTTGACCAGGATGGTCTCGATCTCTTGACCTTGTGATCCACCCGCCTCGGCCTCCCAAAGTGCTGGGATTACAGGCTTGAGCCACCGCGCCCGGCGACCAAGTGCGTTCTTTGATTAAAACCCTCAGTGACTTCTCTCACCCGCAGGATAAAGCCAAAGCTCTTCCGCAGGGCCTCGGAGGCCCTCCCTCAACAACACTGTCCATCCCGCCTCTCTTCTGCTCAGTTTTGGCTGTCAAGCTCCTGTGGAATGTGCCATGCTGGCTGCCAGGAGAGCCCTCCTGAGGAGTCTGTACTCACAGTCAGCCTCTTGTAAAGCCATTTCCAGGCGGGACAGGGGACTTCCCTCATCCCAGTACTTGTCACATGCTAACATGCTTTTCCAGTTTTGTGTCAGTCTCCCCACTGGACTCAGCTTCTCCTGGGTGAAAACTTAACTGTGTCACACTTTCGCTGCCAGTATTTGTAGAAGTGTTTGCTGAACGAATAAATGACTGACTGAAGCAAGTCCTCGGCTTGGAGGAATCCAGCAAGCAGCTTTTCAGGCCAGGACACGTTTTTCCTCCAGTTATTTGCCCCAAGGCTCCCTGACCCTGATGCCTCCCAAACTCATTCAGACCTTCCCAGAAAAGTAAGTCAAGCTGAGGCCTTTGGCAGCCAGCATTATTCATGCCCCCAGAAGTCCTGGGGGTTGGGGTGAGGGTCCTCAGGGACGAGAGGTGGCAGAGCTGGGCTCCCCCTACACCCACCTTCTTTTTCAGCTTGTGCCGGGCCCGCTTGGCGGCCCTGGCGCTGTTGGGGACTTTGGGCTCCGTGCTGTTGATGAATTCCAGCAGCTCATCCACATCTCGGTGGTCCACGGCGGGCTCCCCAGGGATCCCGCCCAGGGCGCCCCCCTTCATGGGCAGCTCCTCTTTCCGCCTGGTCAGCCTCGAGCGGAGCTTCTCCCGGATCTCAGTATAATTCCGACTCGTCGGGGCAGCGGGTGGCTGGGGGAGGGGGAGGTGCTGACATTACACCCTGGGCCTGGGAGGCCCATAGCACTCCCACCCGCTGGCACCAAGTATGTGATGAGAAGCAAGACAACTGTTCTCTCTACCATTAGCCACCAAGGCCACATGGCTTCACCCTCTCAGCCAGGCTGAACCCAGGCGGCAGTGTGTGAAGGGACTGGGAGGGAACAGGGCAGAACTGGGCAAATATTGACTGGGGAGCCAGGAAAGCAAGTTGGAGCCCGGGCTTTATCACTGGGAATCTGTATGACCTTGGGCGAATCACTGAGTCTTTGTGAGCCTCAATTTTGTCATTTCTAAAATGAGGATAAGAACCCCTAGCTCAAAGGTGACTAGCAATGTAATTACTTTCATTTCTTCTATCCTCAGCTGCTCTACCCTAACCGGCAGCCCTCTCCTCTTCACCTTATGAGACTTCTGCACTGCTTCCTCCCCCTGGCCAGAGCCAGCATGCCCTCTGATCTGAGCCTCCTTCCTGGCGCCGTCTGTGCTCACGGCCTGTCCCTCGGCTGGCTGTCACACTTGGGGGACTGAGAGCCTTTTTGCTTCCACTCTGCCTTCATCACGCCCAAGCGTTCACTTCTCTGGGATTACACACGTATACATACTCATCAGAATCATAGCTCTCTGCCATTTCCTTTCCTTTCGCCTAAGGAAAAAAAGTCAATCTTAAGAGAAACCACGAGAAGAGCAAAGGTAGCAAAATGTTTAAAAACCCCTACCTCACAAATGTGCTGTGAGAATCAAGCGAGCGGACGCAGGTGCGAGGACTCACACAGCCCCAGTGTGGTTGGTAAGTACCACCATGAGCAAGGGGGCCTCTGGGGAGAGCAGCGTGCTCCTTTTGCTCACCTTGGCTGGCCCCCAGCCCTCTCTGGCCTGGGCAGGCTCACTCACCGCATTGTGGCCGAAGAACTCACAGTAGCAGCAGTCACAGAACTTCCCATCTCTCTGGTGGGTAGAGGACGAGGTGCAGGAGCTTCGCTCGGAGCTGCTATCCTCTTCCTCACCCAGCCCCTCATCTGCCTCACAGGGCTGGGGCAGCTGGCAAGCCAGGCCACTGTGTGCAAACTTGTGCCCCTTGCACCCAGGATCCCTGCTGATGGGGAGGAAGGGCCAGAGGTGAGGGAGAGTGACACAGGAGCCCGGGAAGCCTCCCAACCACCACCTGCTGTCCAGACCACCCTTCACTTGCCCCACTCCACAAAGGTCCTCGGCAGTCCAACTGCACTGCACCTCTCACCAGAACAGGGTGAACACCCGCACTGTCCCTCAGGGCCCATCCCAGACACAAATGTGGCTCTTCTGGAAAGAAGAGGCCTCATGCCTCCCCTGCCTGCACCCACCATGCACCCCTTCTCAGGCTACTGAGCACACCTCACTCTATCCTCCGCTTATTGTGTGTCACTCTCATGGTTTGTGTGTGCACTGTCTCTTAAACTAGACTGCACGCCTCAAGGGCAGGGGCTGTGTCACTTCTGTTTTTGGGTCCCAGTGTATAGTATAACAACCTTGCACACAGCAGGTGCTCAATAAATAGGTCTGAACCCAGTAGTGGGCTGATGGCTCCTCTGGAAAACCAGACTATCCACGAGGTCAGTCTCCTTTCACTTTCTAAGGTGCTTCTCGGTCGAGTCTGGTGTTCTGGAGCAGTGAGTGGAGCTGCCTTAACCACAGGGCACAGAGTTGAGGAAAAGCAAGTGACTTCTGGGCCACAGACTACAAGAGCCACTGTTTGTGCTAGGTTCTGGATTCGGCGTATTATTTCTAACCATCCCCCAAATCCTGCAATATAAGTGTCATTATCCCCACTTTGCAGCGGTGGAGAGTGAAGCCGAAAACTTGAATGCTTGGCCCAACAGGTGGCCAGGACTCAAGGATGCAAACAGACCCTGACAACGATGCGCGACGAACAGGAGGATAAAGTGAGGTATGCACAGTGCCCTGAGAAGGGATGAGTGGTGGGTGCAGGCAGGGGAGATGCAGGGAACTCAAGCCCCTGTTTCTCTCTATGCAAAACTCATACTCTCTCCACTGTACTGTTCTGCCTCTGAATTTCACGAAGCACTGGGATATCTTGTAATATAGAATATTTTCCCAGGGTTAAGAATGAGACATATGCCTGAAACACCCCATAATTAGAGCCAGTAAGAGTTGAAGCCTTAGGCTGGGTCATGAGCAGCTGAAGCACCCATTGGGCTGAACCCAACACTGGGGTGAGGCTGAGGTGGCAAGGGAACCGAGAGCAAGGATGGAGCTCAAGGAGCTGTGTGCCCAGCTTCCAGGGCAGTCCAAAGCAGCCCTCTCTGCTGCTGGAAAGGATGCTAAACAAGTGACAAGGATTAAAAAAGATGGTGGGAGAAATCATCATCAGTGCTGCTTACAGAAGTTTATTCCAAACTGACCATTCGTTATCTATTGCATTAGCAAAGATTGATTTTACTTTTGAGACAGGCTCTCACTTTGTTGCCCAGGGTAGAGTTCAGTGGCACGATGTCAGCTCACTGCAGCCTATACCTCCCAGGCTCAAAGTGATCCTCCCACCTCATTCCCAGCAACCTGAGTAGCTGGAACTAGAGGCATGTACAGCATGCCCTACTAATTTTTAAATTTTTTGTAGAGACAGGGTCTCATTATGATGCCCCTGCTAGTCTCCAGCTCCTGGGTTCAAGGAATCTTTCCACTTTGGCCTCCCAAAGTGCTGGGATTATAGGCATGAGCTAGCGCACCACGCTGCAAAAATGATTTTAGAAAAATTAAAGTAGTGTGCCTGAGAATATGGGAAAACCAGCACTCACTGGAGATTGCATCAATTTGGAGAGCCCTTTGGATAGCAGTTTTTCAATGTGTATTAAGAACCCTCAAAAAGAACACAAAACACACAAAAAAACACCTCAACAGCCTTTAACTGATAACTTTTTTCATTCTGAGAACTTGATTGCAATGAGAAAAATCCAAAAGAGGAAAATGCTTTAAGCAAATACATATTTATTTATTTATTTATTATTATTTTTTTGAGACGGAGTTTCGCTCTTGTTACCCAGGCTGGAGTGCAATGGCGCGATCTCGGCTCACCGCAACCTCCGCCTCCTGGGTTCAGGCAATTCTCCTGCCTCAGCCTCCTGAGTAGCTGGGATTACAGGCACGTGCCACCATGTCCAGCTAATTTTTTGTATTTTTAGTAGAGACGGGGTTTCACCATGTTGACCACGATGGTCTCGATCTCTTGACCTCGTGATCCACCCGCCTCGGCCTCCCAAAGTGCTGGGATTACGGGCGTGAGCCACCGCGCCCAGCCCTGCAAATACATATTTAGAGACCCTGCTGGTAATGTTAAAATGTTGAAATAACCTAAATGCTCAGCAACTGGGGAAGAATAACATGAATTGCAGTCGATGTTCTCCGGACTTTGAAGCTAGGGGCTGAGAACACCACAGGAACACAAACATGCTGAGGCGGCAACGCAAAGGGAACACTGGCGGGCAGCAGACTGTGCAGACACTGTCAACCCAGCATGTGCAAGACACAGGAGACTTTCCAATAGGAAAATATAAATACACAATAAACAAAGATCTGATTTATAACACGAAAGTACACATCTTCACCAAAGAATTCTCTTTCAAATATATGTTAATATAACCTTTCTTAGTAGAGTTACTTCTAAGAATCTCCCTAAAGGACATGGTTTCTCATTCAAACAGATTTAGGTGCAGGGATGGTTATTACAGTCTCATTCATCATGGTTAAAAAACTGGAAATGCCTACATGTCCAGGAACAGAGGGAATGACAAATGTACAGCTTGAGCTGTACGGTAAGACATTATATGGCCACTGAAAAGTTTCTTGAAGAATTTTAACTGGGGAAATGATCCTGACGTAATGTTAAAAAATAACTACTACACAAAAGGTATATCAAATTTCTAATTATGTTATTTATATACAGAAACGTCATGGTGAAAATATACTACAGTGGTAGAATTTAGGTTGTGAGGACATTTTTTTCCTTATACATTTCTGAATTGTTCCAAGTTAAAGACAAAACAAAACAAAATACAAAACAAACAAACCCACGTACTAGTTTTTTTTTTTTTTTTAAGCTCTGTCATACAGGCTGGAGTACACCAGCATGATCAATGCTCACTGCAACCCCAAACTCCTGGGTTCAAGCAATCCTGCTGCCTCAGCATCCTGAGAAGGTAGAACTACAGCTGCATGTCATCACGCCCAGCTAATTTTCAAAACTTTTTGTAGAGAGGGGGTCGCCACGTTGCCTAGGCTGGTCTCAAACCCCTAGGCTCAAGTGATCTTCCTGCCTAGGCCTCCCAAAGCGCTGAGAGTATAGGTGTGAGCCACTGTGCCTGGCCAAAACACATACTTCTTTACAATTGGAAAAATAATGAAAGAAAATACATAGTCTACTCTTTAATTTCCACTTCAAAGTTACCTAAAAATTTTCCAAAATTCTGAGTTCAAGTGGGCAGAGTGTTTGCCCTTCATGCAGCACACTTACCTGTGAGTGCTAGGGAGTGGCTGAGAGCTCGGGGGAGGGAGGAGAGGCCCACTGCAGTGCCCACCACAGTGCCCACTGCAGGGGTGGCTGCACCCCGAGAATGGCGGGGGTATCTTCAGGAGCGGCATGCTGGTGGAGGGCAGATGGGAGCTCTGACATGGTCCTGGAGTGTGGGGGGTAGAGGCAGCAGCAACAGGGCACTCTGAAGCCTGGGCAGGGAAAGGTGCTGCCGGGGTGGTGGGCAGCAGGTGTGGGTGGGGTGGGGAGCCAAAGGAGCTGGGGAGAGACGGGATTAGAGATGCTGGCTGGGGGTGGTGGCCGGTGGGGCTGTTAGGGGGAGCAGTGAGGTCTGAGTGCTGGTGGTGCTCCGACATGGGGAAAGCCTCACCTGTGGGCAGAGGGAGGAGAAAGGGGTCAGAATGAGAGCCCATACCTGGGAAGGAAAGCCCACAGGCTCACTGCCACAGCATCCTGCTTCTGTGACCAGAGGGCAGAGCCTCCCAGCACAGGTGACCCTGGAGCTGGAGAGGATTCTGTGTGGGCAGCAACACAGCTAAGCAGGCTCAAGGAGCCCCAGCCCAAGCAAGAAGATACTAAGAATGCTGATTCCACAGAAGGCCCCATGCCTTTCCTGCAGCATGAGCAGGGTATATGTATTCTGTCTCTCAGGGTCTGTCTAGGATCTGTTTGTACACAGGTGCTCCTCAGGCCTGGAGGATGGCCTGCAGAAGCCAGGGAAGCAGCAGGCCCAGGCGCTGCCCCTGTGCCATGTGTACCAAAGCAGCAGGGCACGCCGGACCCTTGAGGGCCCTAGATGTCAGAGAAGTGGGAAAAAGGTTCTGATGACTCTCTAGCATGCACCAAAATAAATGGAATTATGTACTGCTCAACACTCATAATTCTGGGGGCGGCACCAATTTGAAGTTCTCAGCCCCTTCATTTAGAAGTATGACAGTAAGTCATATTTATATATAAACCAATAACTCAAGAGTTTTGTCTCTGGGTCTCTAAGAGTTATTTCGGAGTCTAAAGAACACTTACACAGCTGCTACATTGGCTAACAATCATTTTGGCATACACTGCCAACCTCTTGGGCATTTAAGTGCAGCACTTTTACATCTAACCCTTAGGTGGGGAAATCGAGGCCTAGGAAGACAAGGTTACCCAGGTCCTCTGTGGTGCTGCAGGGGTCGGGTGATCTAAGTCTTAACGGGTGCCCTCTTGATCCAATGTGAACGATCAGAGCCAGTGACAACACTGAGAGGCAGTTTTTCTATTAGCAGTATTTTTCAAGTTCAGAGTTGTGGGGAAAAGAGTTCCAGAGATAGTCAAGGTCTAAGCTGCCCCTGCTTCAACCAGAACAGTTCCACTTTTGCTTATTTTAGTAACCAGTCTTATGATTTGTTTGAACAAAGTGGATAGGAAAACACAGCTGTCCACATTTATAGGGCCTGGCTCTCTCCCGAGCCTGGAGACTTACCGGGGATGGTAGGAGGACTCCCAAGAGAGCTGCCTGGCATGGCCCCACTGGAGTGTGGGGAATTCCAGAGGCCTGAGAGCTTATGTGCCGATAGGAACGAGCTAGGATCCCAGTCTCCTGAGTTCCCATGGCAGGAAGAGGAGGACGAGGATGAGGATGATGAAGAGGAAGATGAGGAGGAATGAGAGTCATCTCCACAAGACTGCGATTTGCAGGATGTGTGTGACAAGGAGATCTGGAGAAGGGGGAGGAAAAAGGCTCATGGTCAGACAGCAGACATCGGAGCTGACCCTCTACTGCCTCGGCTTTTCCTGAGGGAGCCCCTCCTCCTCCAGGCCACTGTGCCACAGCAAAAACACAATGAACACAACTCCAGCTACAAGAACAAACGAGGGCCAGGACTTCGCTGGGAAAGGGCTGTGGTGGTCCCACTTACATGAAGTATGTGGAGACTCGGGAGAGAGATTCTGGTAGGGGCAGAGACTGCCTGTGAACTGCAGGCCTTTGGGGAGTAGAGAGTTGCCAATTTGGCCAGGAGTCCTGAAGCTAAACTGATCCTGGGTAAAAGGGAAGATCTGCAGAGACATGAGAAACGAGGGAAGTCTGGCCATTGCGAGTCATGAGACAGCAGACTTAGATGGCTCCCAAGTGACTGTCCTTCTAACTAGAGCACATTTCAGACCCTCAAACTGATCTCCGTCCTTTATATATCGTACTGGTTGGTTTTCAAGCTGCCGCAGAGCCCAAGGCAGCAGGCTCGTGATCTACCAGTATTTACGGGTGGATCCTCATCCTGTGCGCCGACTACCCTGAGGGACTGACCGGCGGGCTGCCAGAAGTTTCTCTTCTTCCCCCAAATCTGAACTTGAGCTGCCAATGCTGTGTCAGTGCAGCTCAGCCGTTTCTCAGTGCCTGGGCATGGGGACTGCCCAAGAAGAGCCACCTGAGGACAGGGAACAGCCTGACTTCCTGGGGGAGGCAGCCCTCCTGCATTCAGGCACCCCTTCTCAGCGGTTACCTACCGCCACTGCATGTTCTCGACCTGTCTGCCTTTCATCTTCCTCCATGCTCTTTCGGCAACTCTGGCAGACCCACAGAGGCATCTCGCCTAGGAGATTCTTGACGAGCTTTGGCATGAAGTCAGGGGGCAGCTTCTCACCCTGCAACACCAGTCCATTTTGAGAAGGGCCTTCTTCCCAGCCTTTGCGTTCCCGGTGACACAGCAGGCAGCAAGTCTGCACAGGCTGGCTGGAGGCAGGGGGAACCTGTCCAACAGACAGAAACAGGGTTTCCCAGGAGGGGAAAGGCTCTCCTTCAAAATAATGGTAACAATATTAGTAATGCCACTTATTACGTGCTGGGCACTGGGCTAGGCACTTTATAGACATAATTTAAATTTAGTCCTTGTAACAGCTCTGCAAATGAGGTGTTCTTATTCCCATTTTTTAGATGAAGAAACAGATTTCAAGAAGTTAAATGAGTTGCCCAAGGTGATAAAGCTAGTGAGTGGTTCAACCCTAGTGAGCCTGACTCCAAAGCTCATGCTCAAATGTCCTAATTCCCTGACATCCCCAAATCTTAAAGGATAAAGAGAAGATGGCCCTTCCTTCTCTGGCATGACTGGGAGTGGCCACAATTCTTGGGCTGCCTTGTGTAGCTTAGGGACCAATCCCCATCTGGAAGGAAAGAATGCTTTTAGTTAATGGACAATTTAGGAGAAAGTGTGAGTTTTCTGAAGAATCGCACAATTCCCTTAGGATCGCAGCACCATTTTGGAGGAGGGTTTTTGTACAGCTAGTTAGAAAGCATCAACTCAATGGGAAATTGTGTCAGAGGGAAAGTAAGGCTCTGGTTGGTGCTCCGGAAAGGTAGTGCGTATGGTGAAAACAGTCTGGGCTTTGCAATCAAACAGACATGCATCCTTATCCCTGCCTGACCACATATTGGCTGTGTGACCTTGAGCAAGTTATTTAACTTCTCTGGGCTCCAATTCCTACCTACCTTGCAGAGTTGTCATGAGGATCATTACTGCATAGCAGGTAAAGTGTCTACCCTGTGTATGCCGATAGCACAGGCCCAATACAGTCATTATTTGGACTTTTATTTTTCCTGCTGTGACAAACTTGACTTAAAAATATAAGTCTATAGGTTTGCTTTCACATTGAGGGGTCCTGACTGGCACAATGATTGCATTTAATGTCTCCAATTAACAGCTTCCTTATCCTGCAACTTTGTATCTGCCCCCACTTTGACACTGAGCTTGGCTGTGTCGCTTTCTTGGGCCAATGGGATGTTAGCAAACAGGCTGCCAGCCATAAACTTGAAAAGTGTGTATACATTTCCACTTGTTTCCATGCATGGCTGGGCTTGCTCGTTCCTGTACCCTCTGCCATGGCCTGAGAGCAAGACCAGGCTAGCTGCTGGAGGGATATGAGAGACTTGTGGAGAAAGCGAAGCCTTCCCAGCTGATCGGCCGGCTGATCAGAGATACATGAGTGAGCCCAGACGAAAACAGACTCATGAGAGATAGAAAACGGTACTGTTGGCCGGGCACAGTGGCTCACGCCTGTAATCTCAGCACTTTGGGAGGCCGAGGCAGGTGGATCACAAGGTCAGGAGATGGAGACCATCCTAGCCAACATAGTGAAACCTCGTCTCTACTAAAAATACAAAAATAAGCTGGGTGTGGTGGTGCATGCCTGTAGTCCCAGCTACTTGGGAGGCTGAGGAAAGAGAATCACTTGACCCAGGAGGTGAAGGCTGCAGTAAGCCGAGAATGCGCCACTGCACTGTAGCCTGACGACAGAGTGAGACTCCATCTCAGTAAAAAAGAAAGAAAAAGAAGGTGGTATTGTTTTAAACCACTAGGTTTTAGAGGTGGTTTGTTATACAATGGTAGTTAACTGACATACCTTTCCAAACTTACCCAACACGGGGTAACGTGTCTGTAGAGGCCTACAGGAATAATATCACCCTCATCCTACCAACAAGAGAATGCCATCATTTTTCTCCCATGAAGTTACTTTCTCATAATGAGTTAGCATCAGGTTATCCTCAAATCTGTAATGTTACCATTACACTAACTTGGGTCCTTAAGTTTCTCAAAAAAGAAAGGAACCAAACAGTGGTACCAGGAGCATAATGAAACACTTCAGGAAGTACAAAAGAACACGAGAGAGACAGAAATTTTACATGTGGAACTCACAAAAGGTACATTCTAAAGCCTCTGCCAAGGGAAAATTTCAATGAGCAAGACGGTTGTGTAGTGGGAACTGCAGGACTGGAAGGTTGGTAAGAAGGATGGTATTCAGAGAAATTAAGGCAAAGAGGAAACGTCCCACAGCTACGCAGTGCCACAGTAGCTCTAGATAGAGTTCCTTTTCCTGCCGTGGTGAGGACTACAAGGCAAGCACCAGGATGTGTGATTTCATTACAAGTTTCATTTCATTTCATTTGCATGCTAGGTTCAAAAGTCATGACATAAGATTAAAATCTTGTATATTCTTGAAATTCTTCATGTGGCTTATATAAAGCACAGTATACAGCCATCCCTTAGTACCCATGGGGGATCGGTTCCAGGACACTCCACAGATACCAAAATCTGCAGATGCTCAAACCTCTGAGATAAAATGGTGTTGTATTTGCGTATAACCAATGCACACCCTCCCATAATCTCCAGATTACATATAATACTTTTCTTTTCTTTCTTTCCTTTTTTTTTTTGAGATGGAATTTCGCTCTTATTGCCCAGGCTGGAGTGCAATAGCATGAGCTCAGCTCACTGCAACCTCTGCTTCCTGGGTTCAAGTGATTCTCCTGCCTCAGGCCTCCTAAATAGCTGGGATTACGGGTACTCACCACCATGCTCTGCTAATTGTTGTATTTTTAGTAGAGATGGGGTTTCATCATGCCGGCCAGGAGTGAGCCACCACACCCAGCCTACTTATAATACTTAATACAATGTAAATGCTATGTAACTAGCTGCTATACTGTATTCTTTAGGAAATAATGACAAGGCAAAAAGTCTATAAATGTTCAGTATAGACACCACCATCCTTTTTTTTCCTTGAATATTTTCTGTTCACAATTGGTTGAATCCACAGATGTGGAGGGATGACTGTACATGGTTTTGTAGTTATAACCAATTAATTCATATGTATAATACAATGTATGTGTGTTTTCTGTTTTTAAAAGCAAATACACAATTCTTATAAATTAAATGTGTAACAAATGTGACTGCACTTAGTGCCGAAGTACTTGTGGAAACAACACTGACTTTGGCATTAATCCTGGTTTCTGTCACTTACCAGGTGTATGATGCTGGGCTAGTTCTACTTACCCTCTCTGTTTGCTCATCTGTAAAATGGGATTAAGTCCTAATCTATAGGGTCAGCTGTGAGAAATAAATGCGATAAAGCATCTAGTCCAGTGCTAGGCACATATATGTTGCCTAACACATGGTATTAATCATTAACGCAATAGAAACAATAGGAGACAATAAATGGTCACTGCATTTTACACGAACGTGAGTCTACATGATGAATCTAAGCTGACTTGTCAGAAATCTTAATATCTACCCTATGAAGTCATTCCCTAAATTCCCAAAATAATCTCTGCCTGTTTTTATTTCATCCTTTTGCTAATGGGGATCCCTTGCTTAAAACCCACTTTCCTGTCCTGTTTACCACTGAGTAGCTGAAACGAAAGGCCCAATTTAAGGCCAGCCTCCTCCAGACTTTCTCCTGCAGAATCCCTCTTGTAATTCACCTCTCCTTTCCCATCTCCTTCTAGTACACTGTACCTTGGTTACAGTCATTGTGCCTTCTGTTTAATTTATTCACCTGTTACTTCTGTCGTTTCTACAAGAGGCTGGTACCAGGTCTAATTCCTGTCTGGATCCCTCACAGCGCAGCACAGTGCCTGGCTTGGGGCATGGGCTCAGCTGGGCATGTGGTAGCAAACTCAGACTTGTTTGGTGTCCCCATGGCAATGCAGTTGGCAGGCAGCTCAATAAGACACGGCTTGGAACGACTGCTTCCTACAGAGAAAGGCCCATCTGTCCACCTGACCTCCAGAATGGTTCCAATCTCTACCGCATTAGCGTAAAAGACTGCATTCTTTAGGGATTACGATGAGATGCCCCCAGGTAATGGAAAGAACATGGCTCTCCCTAGAGCCAAAGTGGTACACAAAGTAAATGAGATCAGCCATCATTGGAAGTGACTTTACAAGACAGGTTGTCTTCCTACTTAAAGGAAGACACACATGGCCTGAAACGCTAATTAACTTCTAACTGAAGCTGCCCACAGGATTGGGTGATGCCACCTATGTTGCATAAAGCTGCTCACAGGATTAAGTCACATTAGAGAGACAAAGCACTTAGCTCAAGGGATCCAGGCAGTAGGCGTTCAGTTTATTATCTAAGCCCCTTGGCCATTCTGTTCTAAGTCAACACTGAAGACTAGCTTATCCACTGTCCTCTTTGAGTTTGGTACACTTGAGTCCTTCTTTCAGGCCCAGGCAGTTTGAGAGGGCCACACTAAAGCTGATGTCTTAACTCTAGGCCCTGGTGCCTGCCCTCGGGTACCAATGCCTTGTGGAACGGAGAACTTTTCTCTGTCATTTTCCTCTTCACTTTAATTCCCAAAGGGTGACGAGAACCACAAGCCCTAGAGATGTTATATTTAGTCAGTATTATCACAGGTTCCTTCAAGTTTTTGCTTTGGCGAGAACAGCTCTTGGTTCAGAGTTCCCGTTGACTGTGATCTGCTGCCGTTTTCCAAATTCTGGCATTCATGACTCCTTATGCCCTGAAGAGTCAGTCAACCCAGACTTTCAACCAGGGGCTCCCAACCTGTATGTTTTTTTTTGAGATGGAGTTTCGCTCTTTTTACCCAGGCTGGAGTGCAATGGCATGATCTCGGCTCACCGCAACCTCCGCCTCCTGGGTTCAAGCAATTCTCCTGCCTCAGCCTCCTGAGTAGCTGGGATTACAGGCACGTGCCACCATGCCCAGCTAATTTTTTGTATTTTTTTTAGTAGAGACGGGGTTTCACCATGTTGACCAGGATGGTCTCGATCTCTCGACCTTGTGATCCACCCGCCTCAGCCTCCCAAAGTGCTGGGATTACAGGCTTGAGCCACCGTCCCCGGCCCAACCTGTATTTTTTTTTTTTTTTGAAACAGTGTCTTGCTCTGTCGCCAGACTGGAGTGCAATGGTACGATCTCAGCTCACTGCAACCTCTGCCTCCCTGGTTCAAGCAA